GGAATGGAGTTTGAAGGGCTAGATATGCTGTGGTCACCTTGGACACAGCTATTTGGCAAAGCTTTCCTGCTACTCCTTCCCACTACTGTTCGGAAACCTGTCACCAACAATGCCAAACTTGTGTTCCTAAGCTCCCTACAGGGATCCAATTGACTCAAACGTCAACCCCAGCCAGAAAAGCTGTGCCCAGGAATCCCAGGTCCATCTGAATCAGAGCCAGACTTGTCCCCCACAGTATGTTCTGCAAGCTCAAGCCATAGCGCTGGCACCACACCCTGGCAGACAGCTTAATCTTTAACATCTGTGTCACCAACCCTATCTTCACCTGACATACAGATAGATTTCACTAAAGTAAAGTCTCATAAGGATTAACAGGTATCTGTTGGTACTTCTATGCAACTACTCAGGCTGGCCCAAGATATTCCCTCTCTGCATTAAAAAGGGAAATAAAAGTTTGTAGGGTCCTGCTGTAAAAAAATCATCCCTTTATATAGTCTACCCCTGATCATTGGTGGTGACAATGGAGCTGCATTTGTAGCAGAGATAACTAAATAAAAATTATGTATATCCTACAGGCCACAAAACTCTAAAAAGTTAAAAAAATAAAACATAACCTTACAGGAACAGTTTGTAACTAGCTCCATAAAGTTTAATTAAAAGATCAGATATACTTGTAGACACTCCCGTACACACCTATAATCCAGATGCATATTAACTCTCTCTACAGGTTTCAGAAATCCAGCTTTGGATATGCTGAGAGTTTACCTGGACAGCTCCTCCAGACTTTACTCTGAGCAAACAACACACTCAAAGCCCTACTCTGTTCACTGTGGACACTGAGCAGTTCACACACAGCTGAAGCCTGAGGATACCATTCACAGAATTTCTCTGTACCTATTCCCCTTGATTTTTGTGCATTTTCAGGCTGCTTACAACCCCCAGTGATATTGCTTCGAGTTGGGCGTTGTCTCAATAGGTCACATATAATTTACCCAGCAAAGATTTGCCAGGAAGACTAAAAGAGGAGGGAAATGTAATAGAAAATGCCTCCTCTGCCAGTATACTTCGGTTTCTTTGCTGCCCAGGTAATATTTCCAATTCCTGTTCCTGTTCCTTTTGTTTCTTAGAAACAGCTGGTCACTGTGATGCATAGCTGGTCGCTAGGACGCACATTGTATAAATCAATCCCCACCTGACAGGCCGTTCTGCCTCTGTGCTTCCTTCTTGTTTATCCCACATAAGCCCCAGACCACCAGAGACCAGGGTCTGATATTTTGGAAGTGATCCCGATCAGTGCCAATTGACATAAAATAAATCTGCCTCCAATCCTGGGTATTGTTTCGTGTTTCTGCTTGCTGTTGCGAGGGGAAATATTCAAAAGGCATTTGGAGAAAAACAGAAATAGAAAAAGAAGAGATTAGAAGCAAGGCCAGAGGACAAAGGAAAATCACACTTTGGGAAAGTGTAAAGAAGACAGGAAGGAAAGAGAAGGAAGAAATAAAAACAAGAACAGAACAAGCAACAGTAACAATAAGAAACCTAGAAACAATATTTGCACTCATATAAAAACAAGATCAAGAAAAAAGAAGCCAAAAACAAAAAAGAAAAGGTGGGGAAGAAGGGAAGTGTTATGGTTTGAAAACTGGTGGTCAACTTAACGCCAGCTGGATTACATCAGCATGCATTGAGAGAAGATGCTCCACCTGAGGAGGGTTGCCAGGATAAATAGGTGGAGAAGAAGGGAGATGTGGAGGGTTGAGGCATTAAGGAGGCATTGTGGGTTCTCCTATGAGTTGCTGTCTGAGCTGTTGGCTCTCCTGGAGAAGCTTTGGTCTTCACATCGAGCATTGCTTCCTGGCTCTGGAGGGGAAGACATGTGCTGCCTGGTCTCCAGGATGAACTCGTCACGCTGCTTCCTGGCACGTACCCGACTGTGCTTGTCAGAGGAGCTCGGGGCCTCCGTGTCGCTGACAACAGCTGTGGTGCCTTTCAGGACAGCCCCGCTCTTTGTTGTGAGTGTGACTTCTTAGCTCCAGTGTAGAACCCTCATCCCACTGGCACAGCTCTTTCATCCTGCTGGCATAGACTTTCTGGCTTCCACCGCTGACCCTTGGGTCTTCTCAGCACGAATCCGTAAAAGAGACTGGCGTGAGTCCTTCTTGTGGGCTCTGGACTTCCAGTTGGACTCGTGGAGGCATTGTTCTGAGCTCTGGGTTTTTATCTGGACTCATGTGGGACATTGCCGTGGGGTTTAGACTCTTGACTAAATAATCTATGTCGTTGGTGTTGCAGATGGATTTCCTGCATTTTCCTGTGTTAACTTCTGGTGGCCATTATAAAAATATTATAAACTCCATGTCCTGGTCTGAATTGTTCTCTGTGTACAAGCCCTGACTACAACAGGAAGCAAACAAGAAAAAAAGTCCACTTTAGGGTGTGTCTTTGTCATCACTGATAGAAAGAGTGGGCAGACAGCCCAGATCTGTGCTGATCAATCCCACCAAGCCAATGTACAGATTTATGGGTGGGGAGCGGGTAATCCCAGGCTTGCACCTTTAGTTCCACTGAAGTTCACGTCAGTTTCTGGTTGTGAGGCTAGAACTTGGTTTGTTCAGCCTGTAACACTCCTCTTGCCTCCTGTCACCTTGAACTCTGCTCCCCTGCTGTCTTAAACTGGGCTCCTTGACCTCCCGATGATTTGAACTGGGTTCGGCCTCACCTTGACAATGCGAGCCACTAGATGGAGCCAGCCCGCAGCTGCTGAGTTCCCAGCCCAGCTCTCCAAGGCGGCCACCAGCCAATCACCCTCTTGAGGGGGCCTTCTGAACCCAAGTAACTCACCAGCTACTGCAGTCTGCTGAGTCCACTGCCCTGTTCCACTGGTGCATCTCTCTCCGGGGAGGCCTCTGGGGTCACCAGTAGTCCCTGTGTGTCTTCAGGTTTGACCTGACTCTCCCATGTGGTGAGTCAGGGCTCAAAGAAAGTGCTGCTTGCCTTCTTCTGAGTTGAGCTCACACTCTCTGTCTCTGTCTCCGTCTCTTTCCTCTCCCCATGGGCTTCAATTCTCACTTCAGAGCCTTCTCTCCTCCTCTTCCTCACATTGCTACATTCTAACATCTGGACACCACATATCAGAGAGACCATTTCTCTGCTGTTCACTAGGCCATCTTCCCAGAAATCTTTTTAAAGCTTTTTGAGACAAGGTTCTCACTATGTAGTTCAGGCTGACCTTGAACTCACTATATTTGTAGCCTAGGCTGGCCTTGGACTCTTGAAGATCATCCTGCCTCAGGCCACCATACTCAGCGATGGCCTCCTTTTCCTGTGCCCATTTCCCTTTGGGTTCTGGCACTTGTACCTCAAGGTGTACTAAGTGCTCAGGGTAGACTTTGGGAACTGGCACAACCTAAGCCTGGCTGGGCCAAGTGGGAAATGAAGCTGCCTGGCTGTTTTGTGTGACACTGTTGACTCCCAGCGGGGCAGGGCCAGCACCGTTGCTGTCTCACACCTCCCTAGTGTGAGATCGTTTGCTGGCCCACATAGGCACCTAGGGATGTTCGTTAGCCACAGGGGCCAACGGAAGAAGGCTGAACACTTGCAGCACTTGTCTGGGCTGCCTGGCCGAGCCTAGCAGCAAAACCTAATGAAGTCCAGGTCATCCATCACCAAACTGCTGACCTGCGTATTCTGGTTTCCACCTGGGTGCCCCAAGCCTGTGTACTCACAGGGTCCTTCCTAAGGTGACTGGGTCACCTGGCTCACACGCTGTTGGGAGGGGGGTCCTGGTCGGAAGAGGCGTGATCTGGCCATGGCCTGCAGGATGACTCTGCCTCCTGGCTCCTCTCTTCTCACTGGTAGGAGGCAGGGCCTGGTCAGAAGAAATGGGACCTGGGCATGGCCTGCAGGGTGCCTCTGCCTCCCGGCCTCCCCTTTCTCACTCTGCTTCCTGGTAGCCCGGCACTGAATAATATGGAATCCTCTCACCCAGCTTCTCACACCCAGGCTGAGGTATAACTGAAGTACTGATGGAGAACAAAGCAGGTTCATTTCAACCTGTGTGTGTGTGTGTGTGTGTGCGCACATGCGTGGAGGGGTGGTGGTGCCTATGCAGCTTCAGGGATGCTGGGCAGTCCAGCCAGCGAGCCAGGCAAAGGGTTGGAGGGAGCTGTGTTCTCTCCAGTCGGGAGAGGAAGGGTTCTCTGTAGGAAGATTTATGAATGTGGAGCACTGGATAATTCAACGGAAAAAGGATGTTATGGCACAGTTTGTTTAGAACTCAGAGCCCACAACCGGAAACTAGGAGCTCCATTTTGCTGTGACCATAACCTAGCTCTGAAAAGAACAAGTCTCTAGAAGGCACCAGCTCAGAGGTGAGCCCTCCTCACTTCCTGGGCTTCATTTTATTTCTTTATTTATGGAGGGGTGGGGCTGGGTATGCCAGAGTCTCACACATGCCAGGCAAGCACGCCCCACTGAGCCTTATCTTGGCAGTCTCGCATCTGAGCCACTTCTTCCCTGGTGGGCTTCTAACTGGACATTCATCTTTGTTTTCTGAGACAGTCCTGGTACGTAGCCCAAGATGTCATTAAACTCATGAGCCTCTGGGCCCCAGCCTCCTGAGTGCTGGGGTGATAGGCTGTGCTGCAACACCTGGCTTTGTTCCTTGAGGTTTGCTTTCCCTGGGGCTAGGAACGCTTCTGCTGCTGCCACAGCAGGACTCCTAAGGCATCAGCACTGGCACTGCGACCTCTAGGATGCCTGCAGTGCCCTGACTGCTGCTGTCTGCAAAGTCCAGATGATCTTCTTTTTTTTCCGTCTTTTTGAGACAGGGTCTCCCTATGCAGTTCAGGCTGGCCTTGAGCTCACTGTGTAGCCCAAGCTGGTCTCCAACCCACAACAATCCTCCTGCCTCAGCCTCCCAAATGGTGGGATTATAGGTGTGAGCCACCACGCCTGGCTCATTTTCTCTTCTTTACACCCAGATACTGCTGCACTCTCCGTTTTGTTTATTTTTTTATTTTTGGTCTTCTGAGGCAGGGTCTCACTATGTAGTCAGGCTGGCCTCAAACTCATGGGAGTCCTCCTGCCTCAGCCTCCCCAGTGCTGGGATGACAGAACATACCAACTATACTCCCAGTTTCACTTCCTGCCCCAGTCCTTGAAGGCCACACATGTCCAGTCCTGGCTTTGAATGGCGCCAGCTGGAGCTGGAGCTGTTCAGCATTGGTTCCCATCCCTATGGGGGTAGATATGAGGCTTGGGGATACAGGACATCTGCTCAGCCTCCTGACTCTGCTGTGGACCACAGGTTCTTCAAGAGGCCACCTGGCAGGCAGCCCCCTCACTGCACGCCATTGCCATCCACTGTGCCGGAGACTGCTTCAGGGCCCCTCCTACTGTGGGGCGGGGTGCAGATGCCCTGGATGGCGCTGTCCTGTGAGAGGTTACCACCTACCAGGTGGCTACCCTGGTGACAGGGGTGGGCACCCAAGGCTCTTGTAGCTGGGCCCTCGGGTGGAGGGGAAAGGCTGGGAGACACAGGCCCCAAGGGCAGCTTTGGGAAGACAGAGGTACCTGGGCTCCCATGTCAAGTGTACCTGGAGGCTGTATGATTGTGCCAGAGCCCTGGCTGGGCCAGGCCCCCATGCTAGCTGGCCACACTGCGCCGTGGGATGCAGCCCTCCATTTCCAGCGCCTCGGGCCAGCCCTCGTACTTGTTGGTGTGCTTGCTGTTCTTCACGTGCTGGGGGATGGGACAAGGACAGGGATAGCCTGTGTGTAGGCGCCTGGGCTGGCACTGCCAAGGAGGGAACAGTGCGGGGAGAGGGAGGACGGTTCCTGCTAAGGGAGCCTGGGCACCTGCAGCCAGAGCAAGGCCTAGAGCAGGGCAGCTTTAGCTTGCCTTTACCTTTTTCATTTATTTATTGGCTTTTTGAGACAGGCTCTCACTATGTAGTCCAGGCTAGCCTCCAACTAATGGTGATCATCCTTGTCTCAGCATGCCAAGTGTTGGGATGACAGGTGTGTACCACCTCACCCAATACGTCAAGCTGCTTTTTTATCTGCCAGAGCTTTCTAGGAATGTATTCATGCATTGTGAGGAGCAGAGTTTGGGGGTGCTATGCCTTAGTTTGGGCCAGAAGCCTCCCCAGTGAGGCTGGCACCCAGGGCTCTCCTGCTTCCCAGCCCAAGCACTGGCCCTGACACACGCATGACCCTGGAGGGCAGAGTGCACAGCACGGTGCAGACCAAGGACTCCAGGGCTTTGAAAGACTCAGGCGGGCTTGAGCACCTTGGAGTCACTGGGGAGGACAGATTCTTGGTTGTGACTTTGTCAGTGTGCAAACTTTGCCACTTTAAGACAGCTTAGAAGCTGAGTCTAGTGGCACAGGCCTGTCATCCCAGCCTTTTGGAAGCTAAGGCAGGAGGATCACCATGAGTTCAAGGCCATCCTGAGCTATACAGTGAGGCCCTAAATCAAAAGAAACAAACAAAAAACACAATCACCCCCCCCAACCCAAACAAACAAAGAAAACAAAAGACCCTCTAGGGTAAAACACATTTGAGAAGCTAAATCCTAGTGTGGACTGCAGGGGTAGCTGGGGGGTGAGGGCAGGGTTGCTACTGTACCTGCTCAAAGGGACTCTTGTTCTGCACGCCCTTGGCCCCCACGAACACCCAGCTGTCCCGGAAGGCCAGCTCCTTGGCATTCCTGCTTCCCAGCTCGCTGAAGAGTTTCCTGGTCTCCTCATTCATCCTGCCGCACAGCCAGAAGACAGGTGGGCACAGGCTGCTTCTGCAGGCCCCTGCTTGGCTCCCCTGGATGCTTACTTACTTGGTTGCTGGGTCGTCATAGGATGCTACGAACACCAGGGTGCCTTCATGCAGTGGACGGATGAACTTTAGCAGGTCATTGACATCTGGAGACATGCGTGGCCCACAGGACACAGGGCTTTAGGCTTGTCCGTGTGGTCTTTCCCCACATAGCCAAACCCAGATTGAGGAAAGGCCCCACCGAGGGAAAGGCTGGCAGGAAGCTTGGCCTGTGTCCTGGCTGGTGGCCCGCCCCCACCCTGAGGCCAGGCCACAGAGGGTACAGGGTGCTGGCCACACTCACCTCCAGCCCACATGTCGAAGGCCCGGGCCTCGATGAGCTCACCACTCACTCCTGCATCAAGAGGAAGAAGGGGACCTTCTGGGTGACCAAGGGGCCATTCTCACCACCCACTCAGGGGCACCAGTAGCAACTGGCTGCAACTCTTCCAAAAGTTCCTTTTACTCTGTTTCATTTTTGGCTTTTTGAAACAGGGTCACTCTGTGCAGTCCATGCTGGCCTTGCACTCACTATGTACCTCAGCCTGGCCTGGAACTCATGGCAATCTTCCCACCTCAGCCTTCCAAGTGCTAGGGTAACAGATGTGCACCACCTCAGCCGGCTTCTAGAGCTATGCAACACCCCCACCATCTCTTTGTTTAGAGAGCTACAGCCCACCCAAAGCCACAGAGCTAGTGTTAATCTGGGCTCTGCACGTGGCTGCCCGCTTTGTCCATGGGTCACCTCTGTGCGGATCCTTTCAATAGCCCTGGGAGCTCCTGGAGGGGTGCCCAGCAAACACAGCAGCTATATGGGGACAAGGAAGGAAGGTTGGTGTGCTCTGGGGACTCACCGTTCACCAGGGCAATGTTCAGTCCACGGCCCACGTTGTCCTTCACACTGCTCATGAGCCTGGCAGGGGACAGAGGCCACCACGATCACATGGACTCTTTCCTCCTCAGCAGGCCCACCCCACCTCTTGCCCTGTGGTCCCTGAGCTCACATCTTGTCCTCCAGGCAGATCTTGGGCCCAATGACGTTGGCGGCACCACTGACCATTCGGAAAGCGAGGTGCTCCTCGGGACATGGTTGGGGTAGGCCACACTTGTATCTCCTGGCCCGTGGTTCTGAGCAAGGACAAAGGTGTGACCCAGTGACCTGGCTGCCGAGTCACTTCAGATCTATGGTGGGGGGCAGGAATAGGTACCCACAGAGCAGGGAACCAGTTCAGGAAGGTGTGGCTCGGGGCAAGGCAAGAAACACTTCAACAGACACTGGCCTACTGGCCAGGTGACAGCCATCCAGGAGGCCAAGGGCTGGCTACAGCCCATGCACAGGCGGGAACAAAACAGGGGCAGAGGAAACTAGGCTCAGAGCCCAAAGACTGGGTCCCCAAGTCCATGCAGTGATGGGGACAGGAGGATGGCCTCTGCTGTGCTCTGAACTGTATCTCTATGAAAGATCCGATGGAAGTGGGGTACAGGGGCCTCACTGTAATCCCAGAACTCGAGAGCCAGAGGCAGGAAGATGGCCGTGAGTTTGAGGCCAGCCTAGGCTACATAGCAAGATCCTGTCTCAAACATCCAAGAACAACAACAACAATGAAAGAAACACTGGAATCCTAACTCCCAGCACTTCAGAATGTGGCCTTGTTTGGAAGCAGGGTCTCCACAGATGAATTAGTAATGATGAGGTCATACTGCAGCAGGCCGAGGCCTTATAAAGGCAGAATTGACAAACAAGGAGGTCGCTGTGTGACAGGGAGGTGGAGACCAGTGTGGTGCAGTTACAAGCTTCAGTGTACCCCAAAGCTTCGAAGATCTGCACCAAATCCAAGCCCTTCCCCTGGAACTTTAGATGAACAAGAGTGCCACCTGCCAACATCTCCACCTCACCCTTCTGCCCTTGGGAACTGTGCAAAAGGGAACCTGCTGCTCCACCACACATGTGATGGGTCTTTGTTACAGCAGCCCCAGGACATTGAAATTCATTTTGGGGTCAGGAAGGAGGGTGCTTCTTCATGGCTCTGGCTTTGGGACTAGGTAATGGGCAGAGGTTGTAGTATCTTCAGATGCACGGCAGAAAGGGCCTAGATTGTGTCAGAGAGGGTTGGCAGAAATATGTATGTAGGCTGGGGATTTAGCTCAGTGGCTTAGGTGCTTGGCTAGCAAGCACAAGGTCATGAGTTCAATCCTTGGTACCAAAAAAAAAAAAACAAAAAGAAATATATGTACAGTAGCTGGGTGTGATGGTACACCCCTGTAATACCAGCTCTCAAGAAACTGAGGCAGGAAGATCCTGAGGTCGACAGCCAGGCTACAATAGCGAATCCCAATCCAGCCTGGACTAAAGAACAAGACCCTGTCTGAAGAAAGAAAACAAAACAACCAGGTGCAGGGGCTTGGGAAGCTAAGGCAGGAGGTTTACAAGTTTGAGTCCAGACTGGGCAGTTTAGCAAGAAAGACCTTGTCTCAAAATAAAGAATAAAGTTGGGCATGGTGGTGCATGACTGTAGTCCCAGCACTGGAGGCTGAGGCAGGAGGACTGCTACACAGAAACCAACCAACAAACAAATGAACAAGGCTGTGGGTGTAGTTCAGTTCCAAGGCCCTAGATTCCATTCCCAGACCCCTAGTGCCATAGAGAGAGACAGAGAGAGAGAGAGAGAGAGAGAGAGAGAGAGAGAGAGAGAGAGAGAGATAATATCCTCTAGCAAAAAGGCAAGCAAAGGTGTGGCCAGTCGAGGGTTTAGTAAAGAGGTGAGATCCTAGGCCTCTTGGTGGGATGGCTGGCTGGCTAAGGGGGCAGCACCCTTCCCTTCCAATCCCTGCCAGCTGCCTGTTGCACCTCACTGCCCTCCCCTGCACTGTGCATTGTGGCAGTGGTGGGGAGCTGGCTGCTATGCCTGGGGAGATGAGGAGAGAACCACTACCCTGAGGGCCATGCAGGGGAGGAGTGGGGTGGGGACAGAGCCTCACCTGCAGTTGCAGAGCTCTCTGGGCCTGTGGGAGGAGAGTTGTTTTTGTTAGTGTGGTGGCCTTGGGCCCAGGCCTCACTGCTTACACCTAAGAGACTCAGAAGCAAAACTGAATACCCCTTTTTTTGCTCCTGGAAGGGGGATATTGGAGCCATTGAGTACTTTGGGGACCCAGCCGTAGACACAAGAAGAAGAGGCCCCTCCTCCAGTGAGGGCCCTGCAGAGAACCTGCAGGGTGCCTTCCAGGACCTCACTGATATCCCCTTGGCACAGGACTGGAACTCAAGGTGCTACCTGTCAGGCTGTCATACCTGCTTGACAGGAGGAAGGTGGCATTTGCTACCAGGAGACAGGTGGAGTACAGCCTGCCAGAGAAGGGATCCCCCAGGGAAGCCTGAGGGCTCACACTCACTGTTGAAGAGGTGCTGGATTCGAGGAAAGCCACTGCCAGGCCCACCCAGGAGGATGCTGATGACGATCCAGGTGAGAGCCACGGCGATGACTAGGACCACAATGCGGAGGGGGCCTGGGGTGAGACAGACACAGCAAGGACCACCTCAGGCACTAGCGAACTCCAGGGTGACCCCCCTGCCATCCACCAAGCTCTGGCGGGTAGATTCCATCAGGAGGAGGAAGCGCAGCCCAAGCCTAAGGGCTGCCCGTCAATTCTCTTCTTGCTGGCCAGCTAAGAAGGCTTCCAGGACCCCACAGGCCTGGGAAGGAGCCCCATCCTCTACCAGGGCACATTCTGCCTCTAGGCCCTGGGCCTTATCTGTATCCTAGCCACCACCTGCTCCCCTCACACTGCCCCCAGGGTTGCAGGTCAGTGCAGATGGGGAGCCCAGTCCTACACCTGCTGCCAGCCAGGGCCTTGCTCCCCTCCCTCCCTGGTTTCCAGCAGTGGAGACCCTGCTCTCCATTTTGCTGTCTTCTGGGCTGTTGACATCTCCATAGTGAGAAAGCAGAGCTGGAAAGCACTCTTCCCAGGCCATACCCCATCCTCTCTCCCTTTCCAACTTCCTTCCCAGTCAAGGTCCTTCAGAGTCTTCTACACTTAGCCTGGCGGCCACCTCACCTCCCACCCTCTCCCCAGCCAGCTCCAATCGGGCTTTGGCCCAATCACCCCAAACAAATGGCTTGGGGCCAAGGTCAGCCCTGATCTTCATGGTGTCACATGCTGGTCATGTGGGCTCTTGTCCTCCTTGACCTCACAGTGGGCTGCCCACATCCTTTTCCTAATACAAGTCTTTTACTGCTTGCTTCCAGGATGGCATGCTGTCCTCACCCAATGTCTCTGGACATTGCATGGTTTGATGATTTACTCCACGTCTAAAAGCTAGACAGAAGCAGGCTTGGTATGGCAGGGCTGCCTGTCTCCACGTTTGCCCTTTCTGGTGATTTCCTCCACCTAGGTCGTCAGACAACCCCACGGAGCAATGGAGCAATGACTCACTGTTTTCTCGCCCAAGCCCTGACTTCTTCAGCACCCACACTCTTAGCGTTTTTAACTTTCCAGTGCCACTTGGATACGGATACGGGTCAGGCAACTCCCCTAGCAGATCTGTACTCCAAGTCTGGGTGCTACTTTCCACTTCAACCCCAGCTTTCCCCCGTCCCCCGTCCCCGCCCCCCGCCGCCACACAAAGGCAGCAGTGACACCTGAGCTGCCCTGGCTAGCACCCAGCATCTCCAGCACCTGCCTCTCCACCTCTCCCCAGCTGTCAGGCCTCCGGGGGCCTCAGTCGCACTTCACTGGCCAAGCAGCTACTCTTATGCACATCGCACATCTCACGACCTGGGAAGCTGAAGTACTCAGGGGTGAAAGGATTTGCTCAAGGTCACAGAGTGAGTGTGGAAAGCCAGCGGCTTGTCCGGGGTCCTCTTGACACAAAGTCAGGACACCTGGGCCTCCTCCCCGTGCGCTGTGGAAGCCACCCACCTGCCAACCTCATGTCCACGTCTCCCGCTGGGCTGGGATCGCCGGCGGGTGCACAGTTTGGGGACCGTGCGCTCTAGGGGGATCGAAGCAGAACAGGGTTGAGTGAGGTCAGGGGAGAGCCTGTGCTGACCCCCTGCGCGGGGCGCGCACGATCAGTGCTACGTGTTTCTCCAAGCACTCGGGAAGCCGGCGGCTCACGATCGGCCCATAGAAGCCTCCAGGATGGGACTGTGCAGTGGTTCTCCCGTGCTCGGGTCACTCCCAAGGCGGAAGAGGGCGGCTGGCTGGCAGGGACTCGCCTGGCCGCGGGGAGACGAGGGCCTGGCAGGGGAGTACTAGGCGGGCCGGGCGCCCCTCAGCCCAGCGAAGGGAGGCGAGCTCAATGCCAGAAGCCCGGTAGGCCCAAGCAATGGCGGCCCAGGGAGGGGCCGCGGCTCCTCAGCCCCGCCCCACCAAGGGACGCGGAGGAGGACTCTGAGCCGGCCCCGCCTCTACCACGCGTCAGTGGGCGCCGTGGAGTAGGCGGGACCTCGTCGGGTCCGCCCCTGGCCCACGCGTGCCCCGCCCCGGAAGTACCCTGGGCTCTTCTTGGGTGGGAGCTCCCAGTTTCCAGGCTTTCTGACTTGAGGTCACGTGCTGGGGGCCGGGGGAGGCGGGGCATCTGGGTAGTAGCGAGGAAACGTGAGTTGCTGCGCGCGCCGGGTTAGGAATGCGGCACAGCAGTGGGGAAAGCGGCAGAATCTGAGGGGCTAGGGCCAAGCACGTTGAGCCTGGGCCACCTTGCTTCCCAGGATGCGTTCTGTCCAGAAGCCGCATGCGTGAAAACTGTTGCTGCCCCACCGACCTGAGTTCTCACCCCCTAGTGCACCCTGACCGCCCTGGCAATCTCTGGATCCTTTGACCGCCCGATTGCAATTACAGCCACCTCTGTCCCCCAAAATAATCCAGAACATCAGGGACACAGCATAACACCTTGAGGAGGTGCACACACACTCACATGCAGTGCCCTTCCGGTACAGTCACCGGGTTTGGTCGGTTTGGTCACCGAATTTGGGGGCCTCTTAGGGATCTGTGGTGCCAAACTGTGGGCACCGTGCCCACCTCCACAGGACCCAGTAGAACTCCCTGAGTCCTCACACACTTGTACCTGATAGGTCCTGGCATCTGCCATGCAGGCGGTTCCTGTTTATGTCTCGCTCGAAGCAGGCAATGAAATCTTGCCTCAGCAAGGTCCCAGAAGGGCCGTGGCTCCCCTGTTTTCCCCAGAGAAGCCATGCAAGCTGTGGGCCGAAGGCCTGCGAAAAATAACTGTACTCTAAGGAAGATCAACTCATTGATTTTGGGGGAGGGAGGTATCCGGGGATTGAACTCACAACCTTGTGCTTGCAGGCAGGCACTTATGTCACTGAGCTAAATCCCTGGCCCAGAAAATCAAGTTTGGTAATGTTGATCTTGAAAGGAATTTGGGGAAGATGTGTTTTATTTTGCATCAACAGCACAGGTTACATACAGCAAATAAACGTTTGCTGTAGTTGGTTCTTTTGTCAGAAAGGAGCATTTGTGCCAAGTACTATAATGTGCACCTCTTATGCTAGCACTCAGGCTGAGGCAAGAGGACTGCAACTTCAGTCTCAGCCTGGGCAATTTAGCAAGACCCTGTCTCAAAATACCAGATAGAGCTGGGGATGTAGCTCAGTCCCCACTTGAGGGGCTGGCCAACCACAACAGGCAGGGTTGGACCCGTAATGGTTAGAGAATTTCTTTATGGCTAGCTCCAAGATGTCAAGGTAGGAGAAGCTTAATCTCTTGTTTGTTTGTTTGTTTTGTCTTTTTCGTTTTTATCAGTACCGGGGATGGAACTCACGACTGCCTGCTTGCAAGGCAGGCACTTATGCCGCTGAGCTAAATCCCCAGCCCCAACCTTAATCTCTTCAGAGATTATTTATGGCTGGCTTTGGAATAAAGGGTTTCTATGCGCCATGTAGAGGAAAAGAAATTCTAGGGGTTTTCCCCACTGGTACTATACATAGAATGTAGTGCTTCACATCCACCTTTTCTTTTTTATTTTCAAATTTTGAGACAGGGTCTCCCTAAATCACTAAGTTATTCAGGCTGGGCTCGAACTTGGGACCCTTCTGCCTCAGTCTCTGAGTGTCTAGATGATAGATTTGTACCTTCAGGTCCTGCTGCCTTCTATTTGTTTGCTTATTTTTTGGTGTTTTAAGAAAGTTTTTTTTTTTAAAAACAGGATATTGCTATGTAACTCAGGCTGGCCTTGCATTCGCTATATAGCCCAGCTGGCCTCAAACTCAAGGCAGTCCCCTGCCTCAGCCTCCTGAGTACTGGAATGACAGGTGTGCACTCCCCTGTCTGGCTTCCTGTTATTTTTATTTAGCATTTTCTTCAGAACCATTTTCTAGTTTGAGGTAGAACAGGAACCTTCATGAGGAGAAGAGATGGATAAAATTCTTGGCCCTGAATCTATAACCTCTGACCCAGGCAAGGTGGACCGACTCTCCTGGCCTCTTCTAGCAATGGGTGGAATGTGTATCTCTGTAACCCTTGACTCTCATCAAAGGATCAGGTCACTGTAAGTAGCAGAGTAGTGCCATGAGGTCTCCAAGGACTAATTGGCCACTGATCTATATCTTTCAAGAGGAAGAAATTTCTTTGAAAAATCAATCTTTGCTAGGTGTGGTGGTGCATCCCTGTTTTCCCAGCATTCTTGGAGGCTTAGTCAGGACGACCTCAAATTGAAACCCAATCTGAGCAACTTTGTGACTATGCTACCCCAGGGACCCTGTGAAAACGGGCCCTCTCTTTGTTAAGGGTGGCCTTGTTCCTCTCACACTTTTTATTTCTGTTACTGCAGATGCAAAAGTTCGCCAGAGTGCAGTCTTCTAGTTCATGAACCCTCTCTTGGGCATTGCCTAACTTGCTATTAAGCCAGTCCAGTGTCACTCCAAGGGGATCTGGGGACCTCAACTCAGCCAGCGGCATAGGTTATGAATCCAGTCACATTGGCTGGTTTATTAGGCAGCAAGAAGCACACTCCTAGAGCAGAGATGCCCTGGTGTGGGCTTGGGGATCTATCAGTAGTCTTGGAGGAAGTGGGTGGTCCAGGACATTTTCCTAAAAACTTCTTTGAACCCTTTTTCCTATGTCTTAGGCTCAGGTGGCTATGCTTTACCTTATCAACTAGATTAATTTATAGAGTTATGGTATCTTTGAGGAATTTGGTTCTGATGGACCTAATGAAAAGAAAATAAAGCCTTGGGAGTAAAGGTATGGAGTGTACACATGAGTTACTTTGTGTCTTGAAGTTGCACCCTTTTTTTTGTTTTTGAGATAGGTTTTCACTATGTAGTGCAGACTGGTCTTGAGGTCACCACATAGCCCAGGCTGGCCTCAGACTCACAGCAATCCTCCTGCATTGGCCTCCTGAGTGCTGAGATTACAGGTGTGTGCCACTATGCCTAGGAAAGTTGTACTCTTCTAAATATCTTTTTTGGGGACTGTGGGTACTAGGGATTGAATCCAGGGACTGCATACTGAACACTCCCAGCTCTTTTTAAAAAATTTGAGCTCTTTTAAAAATTTACTAAGTCACCAAGTTGCCCAGGCTGGACTTAAAATTCCAGTCCTCCTGCCTCAGCCTCCCAGAGTGCTGGGAACACAGGTGTGCACCCCCATGTCCAGCTGCCTGTGTCATTTTTTACACTTTCTGTTCCCTGCAGACATCCTGACATGACTTTTTTCCCTCCTTTCTTTCCCTCCTCCTTTCTTTTCAGTACTGGGGATTGAATCTGGAGAGCACGGGTTTTATCCCCAGCACTTTTAAATTAACTAATTGGAGACAGAGTCTTACTAAATTGCCCAGGCTGGCCTCAAACCTGTGATGCCCGCTTCAGCCTCCTGACTAGTTGGGCTTACAGATGATGCCATCTTCCCTGTCTATGACTTTGTCTTTTCCCACTGTGCCCATTAACCCATCTCAGGGCCCAGTGCCCACACCTTCTGGGCTGTGCCTGTGACCCTGGGCTCTTGATAGGAAGCAGCAGAAGGTCCTCACAAGATACTCAGCCGAGTGTAGCTTGAGCCCATGAGCTCAGAGCTAGTCTAGGTGACCTAGTGAGACCCAGTGTATCCTCTGTGGTAGGCCTGCATCCCTCCACCGCCCAGGCTGGGCAGCTGTTAGGGCTCAGGACCTGGGAAGTACTTCCTGTTCCCCTTGCCTGGGGCTGGCTGCCTGCCAAGAGTAGGCCTGTGGGAAGGTAATGACCTTGGAAGGGATGTTTCTAGCTAGCTAAAGATTTGGCGTTGTAAATGCTTTGACAGAAACCTGAGCCAGTTGGACTGATTCTTGGGAATGTCCTGGCCAGAGCTTGCTGGCCCCGCTGTGGTCCTGGGTATCACCTTGGGGCTTGTTTGATAGGCTTCTCTAGTAGCACAGGAAGGACAATCTCTTCTGGCTGCTGCTGCTCCAAGGCCAAGAGGACAAAGCAGTGGCCACTGTTTGGTGTCTCCTGCACTCAGTGCTGGCAGGGCCACAGCTGCAGCAAACTGGCCTGTGTGCAAGCAGATTCCCTCTCCAACCCAGGAGATGGGCCATGAGGGCCCAAAAGGACACCCTTTCTTTCTGGGTGAGGAATCTTAACTTTTCCCTTTCCCTCTTTTTTGTGGTTCTAGGGTAGAACTCGGGGCCTCATACATGCTAGGCTACCTAACACTGAGCTACATCTCTAGTCATTTTAAAATCTTACTTTGAGGCAAAGTCTAAGTGTATTAGTTTTTCCATTGCTGGGACAAAATCCCCAACAGCAGACACCACAGCATAAAGGAGAGGTTTATTTGGCTCACAGTTTCAGAGGGTTAGTCCATGGTTGCTTGGCTCCAAGGAAGGACATCATGGGGAATGGGCCTAAGGGAGGAGAGCTGCCCACCCATGGCAACTAGGAAGCAGAGAGCACGAAGGGGCCAGGGACAGGAACACACCGTTTTTGGTCATAGCCCAGTGACCCTCCTCATCTGCCACCCCCAATAGCACACTCAACTGTGAACACCTCGGTGGGCGAATCCACTGATGACAATAGCACCCCGTGACAAGGTCACCCTCCAAAAGCCCCACCTCTGCACATGAGACTTTTGGCAGACATTCTAGATCCAAGATAACCTGACCTCAAACTTGTGATTCATCTCCTGCTTCAGCCTGCTGGAGTGCTGGGATTGTACAGGCATATACCACCACACCTGGATTTTTTTTTTTTTTTAATTTTGAGACAGGGTCTTGCTAATTTGCTAAATTATTCAGGCTGGGCTTAAACTTGGAATTCTCTTAACCTCAGCTCCCCAGAGTGCTGGGATTACAGGTGTGCGCCACCACACCCAGCTTGTTGTTTATTATTTCTAATTAGTGTATCATTCTCCCATTTCTGATGGAAGTTTGGTTCAGAGAAGAACATGTGTGAACAGTTATGTGTGCAGATGCGTTTCCGCTGTGCCTGGCAGTGTGCGCCTGGAGTGCAGCGGTGGCACCCTGGCCTCCCTCCCCACCCCAGGGAGGTGCTGTGGAGCAGACATGGCACTTGGTGCCCTCACTGGGACTTGTGGCTCTTACCTCACTTTGGAGGAAGGGACCTCTGGTGGGAGTTGCCACACTGTATCCAAATACAATGACCTAAAGTGCAAGTGACCTTCAAACAACTTTACTGGTCTCTCATTCTTCCCAGGGTCCCTGTGCTGCTATACAGCTGTGGCGGCATCTTGGGGTCTACTGAATGGGTCTGGTGTCTGTCTCAGTTCCAGTGTGATCTGTCTCTACTGGTGCTTCTGGAGTGTCATGTGGGAACCCACACCTGAGGTGACTGCTGACAGTCCTCAACTTCACCAGCTTGTTTCTGCTCCATACGTGGTACCAGCTGTCTTGACTTGGACTCTGTGGCAGTCATCTTCCTGTAGCTGGGACCCAACCCTTGACACCCACAACACACAGGGGACCAGTTTCATTGGGGTTCCTGCAGCTCCAAGACTGGGAGACCAAAAGGCCGGAGGCAGAGGGGGCAAGGAAGGAGTTGGGGCCCAGCCCCCAGACACATCAAAGCCTGGGATGTGAGGCCCAGCCTCCCAGGGAGCCCACTGGTTATGCATTCCACCCATGGGGCCAATCTGCTGAGGAGGGCGGTGCCCTAACACTGCCTCAGGAAGTTGCTACAGTGGATGCTTTGGGAGGGCGCCCTCCTTTCACAGCCCCTTGCCCTACTTGCTGTGTCCCCAGCGTGGGTCAAATCCACTCATCCAGAGGTGAGATGACACCTGGTTACCACATGCCTGTGCCTCTCTGGCAGAGCCCAAGTCGAAATTCAGTGTTCTTGTCTTAAGCTACAGAGTTGCACCAACTCAACAAGACCCTCCTCGCAGTCACCAGAGGCACCCAGGGGAGTGCGAGCTGTCCCCCATGCTCCTGGACTCCCCCTCTTGCTGCTGCTCTCCTAGGGCTGTCTGAAAAGTAGAGTACCCCCTCCCAGGGCGGGGCTGGCCCTCTTGTGCTCCCATCTTCCTCTTTCCCCCAGAGTTCAGGGTTCCTTCTGAGGACAGAACACCAATACAAGATGGCTTCTCCTGAGCAAGGCACCCGGGTAGTGTGGGGCACCCCCGGGACAGCTGTCTCCTTCCATCATCTTGTAGGGTGCCGTGTCCTTGTCCTTCACAGCTGCATTGTGGAGCAGGGCAGCACCCAACAGCTTCCTAGCTTGTGTAACAGGAAGGACCATGCCCACCCAAAAGTATGGTCTCTCATTTTGAAAACTCTTGCTGTGCTTCCCTTCATTTTACTCTAGGGTCCCCCTAGTTTGCCCCAGGCTGGCCTCCTGTCACCCTCCTCCTGCCTCAGCCTCCAGGAGCTCATTCATTCTCGATGGCTTTCTTTGGTAGGGACCTGGGCACAAGCCTCCAACTCCTTGGCATCCCCAGCTCCATGTTGTCATTCCAGCCTGGGGTGAGGGCAGCCGGGTTCTGTGGCAGGTTAAGGAGAGGCCTGGATGCATCAAAAAGCCCTAGCCGGGCGTGGTAGCGCACGCCTGTGATTCCAGCACTCACAAAGCTGAGGCAGGAAGATGGCAGGTTCAAGCCCAGCCTTGAAAATTTAGCAAGACCCTGTCTCAAAGGAAAAAAAAAAAAAAAAAAAAAAAAAAAAAAAAAAAGGAAACCTTGGACAGTGGGCTGCAGTCATGCGTACATGTAGTCCCAGCTACTGAGGTGAGCCAGGGGCACCAGTAGAGCCCCAAGACCTCACTTCAACCATGCACATGATGACGTGGCCAGCTCCGAGCTGGTGCCAACTTGCTGCCTGCTGCCAGATCCTGTGCCAGGAGCAGGCTGACCTCATGACTGTTTAGTTTGCTTGCTCCTAGACGGCCCACCCTCAGACCCTCGTCCTGTGAGCCTTGTGCCCCAGGCCTAGGCCACAAGCTCAGGGACCACGTCAGGGTTGTTGGCTCTAGACAGGGCCGGGAGGAGTCGTAGTGATCCTTGAGAGCACTCACAGGAGCCTTGAAATGTGACTGGGTGGAAGTGGTGTGTGCAGACAGCAAGTGCTTCCCGATGGAGACACATGCAGGTGGCCCTCCCTACCCTGACTCTGGCCCCCTCATGCACACATTGCCTTGAGTACCACGCTGGGGTGTTGTCAAGGCTGCCTAGGAAGGACCAGGGAGAGACAGGGCTACCCAGACGCAGAATGTCACTTCTGACTCCCTTTCCTCAGAATCTGTCACCTCTTTCTCCTCTGTAGACTGGCAGTGTCTCCTCAAGGGACTATGAAGGGCAGGGTTGTGGCTGTGCAAAGGCCAGCACAGGCAGTTGAAGGGGTGGCAGCTAACTCAACTATGACCTGTCCCTGTCTTTGAAGCTGGTCTCAGTGATGGACACCTGTGGGGTGGAACACACTGACAGGGTCACGGAACACTCAGGTGGTAACCCTGTGCCATGGGAGGGTGGTGGGTGACACAGGGAACAAGTGATAGTGGCAGGGAAGAAACAACGGAGGGACGTGGGGCTGTTTGAGGTTTAATGGTGGGCAGGGAGGTGGCGTCTTGGAGTGCAGTTGGTAGCCTGGCCAAGGTCCTCTCAGCTGGGGACTGGGAAAGTTGGGGGCTCCGCTCTGAGGAGCTTCCTGAAGCTCCTCCCCTGTCCCTAACTGGCTGGGCCATGCCCCCTCCTCCTTCCTCCTGGGGTGGAACAGGAGGGGGTGGTGGTGGAGTGGGAGGAATGTGGCTGTGGCTGGCGCAGTGGTGGCGGGTGAAGGGTGGGAGGGGGTGGCCAAGCCTGTGGTCCCAGAGTCCTCTCGACACTGGGAGGCTGAGGAGGAGTGCAGGCACCCGGGCTCAGAGCTTGTGGGGGTTCACCCACTTGTAGGTGCCCTCGTACTGGAAACCCACTCGCTTCATCAGCTCGTCTGCCTCAGGGGGACCTCGGCTGGAAACAGGACAGGTAGGGGGACATGAGAGTTGCCCACCCTAACCACCCCCACTCCTGCCCGCACCTGCTGTAGACATGGGGACCCCCATCTGGGACCCTGTTACTCTGCCCTCACCTGCCGTAGACATAGGGGATGGGCTGCAGTCTCTCCCGCTCAATCTGGTGCAGCAGCGGGGTGAAAATACGCCAAGCCTCCCGGAGTTCATCACTGAGGGGACAGAGATGTGTGGCCTTTGGGTATGGGAGCACACGGGGGCAACACCACCCTACGCCTGGCACCCCCATCACCTGCGCACGAAGTGCATCTGGCTCCCACAGAAGACATCCAGGATGAGGCGCTCGTAGGCGTCCGGGAGTTTCACGTCCTGTGGGGCCTCCGAGGAGTCAGTGACAGCTGTGTCCCCTGTACCCTGCCCCCCTTTGTGCACATGCATAACCACCTTGTATCTGTTGCCGTAGGTGAGGTCCAGCTCAGACTCCTCTGGGTTGAAGAACATGCCTGGCTTCTTGGTCATCATCTTGGTATACACAGCCTCGTTGGGTTGCACACGGATCACCAGCTCGTTGCGCTTGCACTGCTGGTGGAAAATGTCACCAGCCACATCTCGGAACTGCAACCGCACCTCAGCCTTGCGCTCATTCAGGGCTTTGCCACAGCGCAGGACGAAGGGGACCCCTAGGGAACAGGGTGACTTAAGGATGGGGCCAGCCCAAGTAGAATGCCCAGCCCTGTGATGCGAGGCCCCAGAAGGGTCACCTACCATCCCAACGTTCATTCTCCACGTAGAGGACGACAGCTGCAAAGGTGGCGGTATTAGACCCGCGTGGCACCGTGGGGTCATCCAGGTACCCTCTGGTGGCCTCACCCTCTCCACTGGGGTTGCCCACATACTGGCCCAGGACCATGTTGTTGGCCTGTGCCTCAGAGATGCACTTGAGCACCTTGACCTGGAGAAGCAGGAAAGGCAGGGAAAGTAAGTCCTGTGTGCTGAGGCAGGCTCTGGCTGGGGCCGTCCCAAGGCATGGTGCTCACACCCACCTTCTCATCTCGGACATCATCGGAGTCCGTGGAGGCAGGTTTCTCCATGGCCACCAGACACAGCATCTGCAGCAGGTGGTTCTGCATGACGTCCCTGGGGACAGAGGTGCCCAGCACTGCTCAGACACAGCCTGGGGGCAGGGGGTGGGACTCGTTGCCTGACTCCCAGTGTCTCTTGGGAGCCCTGGTACCACCCCCCCACTCAGCTATCACATTTGTACTCTCAGGCCAGGAGGCACCCCCAAATGGGGTGGGGAAGATGGGCTCTCACCGGATGATCCCGAACTCATCAAAGTAGCCCCCACGGCCCTCAGTGCCAAAGGGCTCCTTGAAGGTGAGGATCACACAGGCAATGTTGTCCCGGTTCCAGATGGGGCCAAAGATCCTGTTGGCAAACCTGTGGGATGGTAGGTGAGGATGGCACAGTCACAGCAAGTTCCCCAGGTGAAGCCTCCGTGGGCCCTGCCTGGGGCCTGGTTCCCTGCCACCCTGTCCCGGGTGTCCCTGACTGGTCTCACCGGAGCACCATGAGGTTTTGCACCATCTCCTTGCCCAGGTAGTGGTCGATGCGGTAGATCTGGTCCTCGCGGAACAGGGAGGAGATGTGGTTGGACAGCTGGTCCGAGCTCTGTAGGTCTCTTCCAAAGGGCTTCTCTACGATGATGCGGTTCCAGCCCCTGTTGGGAGCCACAACCGTCATTCTGGCGCCCACCCTGAGGACACTTCTGTGACCCTGCTCCCAGGACGTCTCGACACCCACCCATCTGCCAGTGTCCTCCATGCCACACTGGCCTTGTTCTCCTGCCCCACGCAGTCTCTAGGGGCAGGGGCGCATCCCAGTGGCTGGTGAGGACAGGGGAAGGGCCACTGAGGGCACAGCTCTCCAACAGGTTTCAACTCTTTTCAGGTGGGGGCTATCGGCTAGGCTGGGATTGAACTCCTGGCATAGCCTTGTGCTGTACCCCCACAGGTCTTAGAAGGACAAAAGGTCCTTTGCTTTGTCATCCTTCACAGGGCATCAGTGTGGCCCTGCCTTCAAAATCAGGGAGAATGCTGGGGTGGCAGCGCCCACATAGCAACACTATGGGCCCTCAGGGACTCTGAGGACGGATGCAGGAAACGTCAGAGAAAGAGCAAGAGACCTGCAGCCTTTCGTGGAGTAACACTGCCATCTTGAGGTGCTAGCAGGAAACTGCTTTTTTTGGGGGAAACTGCTGTTTAAACTTTTCCTTTTCTTTTTTGTTTGGGGACAGGATCTCCCTGTGACAATTCAGGACGGCCCCAAACTCATAGGCTGCACAGCTGGATGCAGGCACGTGAACCCCAATACATGGACAGCAGGCATTTGCAGGAAAGGCTGTATCACAGTCTTTCCTTTGTGGAGTGATATCACGCAGGGAACAAGGAGGGTACCCATGGTTCTAGCTCTGTGGGCAGCAGGGAGCTCCCATGCTCTCTGGCCTCCAGGCCTGTGGGTGGAACAGGCTGGCAGGGCGGGAGGGGACAGCCTTACGTAGGGCTCATGCAGGCCTCGTGGATGTGCTTGGTGACGGCCTCATAGACGGTAGGAGGCAAGGCCAGGTAGAAGAGGCGGTTGGCCTGCGGGCCCTGGGGCAGTGAGTCCATGTGGCTGCTGAGGCGCCTGTAGGAGGCCGGCTCATCGTATTGGCCAGAGACATAGGAGTTGCGAGCGAAGAACTCTTCCAGCTTGGGCCTCTCCTCTGGGGTGGCCTGGGACAGTGATGGACAGAGGGACAGAGTGACGCCAGCCCCTCTCTCCTACTGTGCTGGCAGCTTCAGATTATTATTGTTTTTTTGAGCCTCCTTTCGATGTCAGCTGTCCCAGTCGCCTGGGTCCTTGTGGGAGGGAGGCAGAGGTAGGCGGCACATACACCACGCCAACACACAGGAAGGACAGTCACCCTGTGACCTCTAGAGACCTGTAGCTCAAGACATGGCAGAGCTCATGGACATACAACTGGGGGAGAGTGCTGCCACACCAGGTGACAATTTTCTAGGAAGTTGCTGTCCCATGGTCTGAGAAGACGCCCACCCAAAGCCCCGCCACTGTTGCCTGTGATGGGGCACCCTGTGGCGACACTCCAGGACACCCCCTTTGGGATACTAGAAACCACTCACTTTGAAGAAAGGCTCGCTCTGCTCTCGGATGTCAGCCACCGTGAGGCGAGATCGAGCATAGCCCACCACGAACGTGTTCTCAGGCAGCAGGCCGTCCCGGAAGAGCCACCTGCAGGTGGCACATCTGGGGTCAAGCGGGGAGGGGACAGCGAGACCTGTCTCCGGTGGGGCTGAGGCCACACTTACCAGATGGTGGGGTAGATCTTCTTCTTGGCCAGGTCACCCTAGGGCAGAGGGACAGATGAGGTTGGAAGAGGCTGGGGTCATGACCTGGCTCAATCTCTACCCTACAAATCACCAGAGGAGCCCTGAAATCTGAGTCTGCCCTGGCTCCTTCCCTTGATCTGAAAGGTGAAAGTGTGTCTCATGTGCCCAAGAAAAACTTGCAAGTTCAATTCTTCAAAACCCAATAATCTGGGCATGGAAGAATACACCTATCATCCCAGTACTCCAAAGGCTGAGGCAGGAGGATTGCTGCAAGATTGAAGCCAGCCTGGGGCACACAGCACGACCCTGTCTCAAAGAGCCAAAAGACCTAAGTGACAATGAGGGTGCCACACATCAAAGCTGGTGCCTCATGGCTGCGAGTCACACAAGCGTAAAAAGTGGCTTGAAAGCAATGAGCTACATTTAGCTTACAGGGTCAGAAAAAGAACGGCAGATTATTATTGTTTTTTTGAGCCAGCGTCTCACTATGTAGTTTAGGCTGGCCTTGAACTCTTGGAAATCCTCCTACCTCAGCCTCCCAAGTGCTGGGATGACAGGTGTACAACTCCACACCTGGCTTCTTTATTTTTTGACATACTGGAGTTTAAGCCCATGATGGTGCTCTATCACTGAGCTACAACCTTAACTTTTTTATTTTGTATTTTTAGATAGGGCTAAGTTGTCCAGGCTGGGCTTGAATTTGGTATCCTCCTGCCTCAGCTTCCTAGAATGCTGGGATCACAGGTGTGTGCTACCACACCTAGCTCAGAAGAGAGTTTTCTGAACAAATCTACTCTGTGGCTGATAACTAAGATGAGACAAATTTCTAGAACTATTCAATCTACCAAAAGGGCAGCCACTGGCAGGGGTTCTAATCCAGAGGAGGGGAAGCTGCAGGTGGGATGAAGAGGGGCACTGCTGGGTCCACTTTCTGTCCCCAATGAGAAGGCACACAGGTACAATCGTTGGCCCCTCACGCGAGCACACACATGCAGAGGCAAAGCCCTCAGTTAACACCACGCATCACAAGCACATCAGTCTCGTCTGGGGAACGGGTGGTGCCCTGTTAAGAAGCCAGTGTCAGTCCTGGGCATCACCACTCACCTCCTCAAGAGATTAAAGGAAAACAGATCAAAGGAAAACAGATCAAAGGGAAACGTCTTTGCCTACTCCTAGTTATTGGCTTCTAGAATCTAGCAGCCTGGGCCAGCATGGGGGTACATGCTTATAATTGCAGCACTTGGGATGCTGAAGGAAGAGGATCGCTATGAGTTTGAGGCAATCCTAGGCTACACACTCAGTTCAAGGCTGGCCTGGATGCTGTCTCAAAAAAAAAAAAAAAATCTAGCAATCTTTCTGAACTCAACAGATGTAGATAAAGAATTTTAAAAGATTTATCTTTTCATGATAAAAACTCTTATCAAAGCAGGAACAAAAAAGGAATTTCCTTAACGTGAAATAGTGGATTTCTGGAATAAGCCTATAACACCCCACAGCTTGGGAGGGTGTTGTATTCACTTCCTGTAGAAGATCAGGAACTCTAAAGCAACCTCTGCTGTTGGCTCTACCGGCAGGGAGGGTCTGGAGATGAGTTTGTCTAAACAAAACATCTCAGGTTGTTCTATGGCTAAATGATCAGAATGAATGACTTTAATAAGGGGGTTAAATTAAAAAATGCATAGGGGTAGGCAAAGACTTTTTGGACACAGCAAGAACTACAGACACTGATAAACGAAGACCAAGTGAAGCTAAGGAAGCTGCTCATCAAGGCACTATTAGGCGAGCGGAGGCGCGGAGTACAGGCGCTGCATGCTTAAGGCCTCCGACCCCCAGCACCACAAACCAGGAAGCCCAGCCCGAGTGTCCACCTGTGTTCACGACACACACGCGGCTCCTACAACCAAGGAGAAAATGGCCCAGTTAACCATGGCCACACACTGCGCAGGATGAGAGAGTAATGCCTGTGACACATAGGACTAAGAGTCTGTAACACGTGAGGCAGCCCCTCAATGACCCTGTGCGGAGCCCACAGCCTGCCTAGCCAGGGCGATCCTGTGACTGCAACCCACCCGGATACCCGCACATGTGTGTTTGGAGCAGCCTTCCTTCTAAACAGCCCTGGACCGGAAACAACTCCAATGCTCACGTTGAGTCAATGGGATGCAACTAGGTGACAGGAATGACAGTGATGGATTCCGGCACATGGAGGGGGATCTCAGACCGCCATGCTGAACCAAAGAACCCAAACACAACAGGCAAAATACCCATGAGTGCACTTAAAAGTTCTGCAGTAGGCAACATTAGTTCATTATTATTATTGTTGTTTTTATTTTGAGACAGGTTGACTTTGAACATGAGGCGATACTCCTGCCTCAGTCTCCTGACCCTAACCTACTGACACAAATGTATTGTGATGGAAATTAGATTAGTAGTTTACTGGAGCAGGCGGTGGACTGGCTGGGAAAGGACACCCAAGAACTTTCTGGGGTGATGAAAATACTGTATCATCAATTGTACTGTTACTATCTGAGGACAATATTGCTGGTATGTGCCAAAAATAGATGGTTAAAAAAAATAACCCAGGCGTGCTGGCACACACCCGTAATACTAGCACTTGGGGCACTGAGGCAGGGGGATCACATTGAGTTTGAGGCCAGCCTGAACCATACAGTGAAACTCTGCCTCAATAAAAACCAAACCAAACCAAACCAAACCCAACAACAGAACACCCCAAAACAAAAACAGTAGTCAGGGAGGGAGAAGAGGTTAGAAATTACCCTTGGGAGCTAGATGTGGTAGTGAGAGCCTGTGATCCCAGTATTCTGGGAGGCTGAGGCAGGAGGAATCCAAGTTCTAGACCAATCTCAGCAATTTAGCAACTTAGACCCTCCCTGCCACAAAATAAAACAAGGGCTGGGGTTGTAGCTCAGAGTAGAGGCCCTGTGCTCAATCTCCAAGATGGCAAAATAAAAGATAAACCAAACTCCAAAGCCTTGGGGAGACAGCAACCTAAGAAGCAACCTGTGGGGTACAGGTAGCCTCTGGGAAGCTGCCATAGGTAGGCCCAGCTTGTGCAGTCACCGAACTGTCCCCTCGGCCGTATTCTTTTCCATTTCATTCCATGAATGAGTGGACACAAGGCAACCACTACATACTTGCTAGCAACAAACAGCAAGAGAGACAGAGCCCTGAGCCGTGAATGTAGGAGATGCTTGCCATGTTGGACTCTGCTGGAGGCAGCTTTGTAGAGTCTGCTCATGGCAGAGACATCAGGAAGCCTCGCAGGGCCTCTCCTCCCAGAGCTTTCATCTCAGACCCTATCATTGAAACTGGGGGTGGGGGTGGGGGAAGCCAGGTGTGGGAATCCAAGTTGCCCATCCAGAAAAGCCTGCTCCATGGCTGGGCATGGTGGCACACACCTGTCATCTCAGCATTCAGGAGGCAGGGGGCAGGAGGATGACCACAAGTTTGAGTGCAGCCTGTGCTAGAGTTACTTGAAGTTTAAGGGCTGCTGGGCCTATGTAGTGAGACCTTCTCAAACCCCTGCCCCAAAAGAAACCTCACAAAGACAAAGTGAGCCCCAGTAGCTAGGGAGCTGAATACAATACACAAAGGTGCCTCACAGAGAGCAGCCCCACAGACATCTCTGACTGCCTCTCCTGGACAGCGGCCTGGGGTGGTCTGGCCTCTGTGCAAAGGTGAGAAGGCTAGGGCAGCCTCTTTCTGGGAACATTTTTGACCTGGAGGCTGTGGAACAAGAACCACACCACTGGAGGTCATTGGCACTGCCTACCGGCTCCATAAAGCCCTCGGGCAATCTCCAGGGCGAGTTGGGCTGCCTGTGTTGACATGGGGGCCCAACTGCATTATCTCCACCTGGGCCTGCCAACTGCTCATGGCTGATGCCCCGATCCTGATGTGGGTTCCCATCGTAACTGTCACCTTCCACGGGAACTTTGGGGAGTCAGGGCTAAATGGTCTTCCTGTCACCCCAGGCTATGGTGACTATCTTCAAAATGAAATGCCACCTGCTGGACTCTGCCTGCCTTACCCATGTTCACACCTACGACTCCCCACGCGCCATTCACTGTGGCTACCCTGGCAGCCTCTGCTGTTCCTGTCCCTTCCCTTGTCCTATGGCCTTTCTAGAGGGGCCCCTCCTGGGCTTTCTGCTGTGAGCGCTTGGGCCGCCTTCTCTGGCAGGCTGGCTGGGGGCCAGGCCCCAAGAGCCCACAGCCTTCCATGGGCCGGGTTTGCTTCCGGTCAAATTCCAGCAGGTTGTGAGGAGTCAGATGGACTCCAAGCAGCGCGGCGTGTTGGTGGCAGGGGACCATCTGCTGAGTCACGGTTGCCCTGCACCCCAAGCTGTTTCCCTTGCTGCTCCCTTTGGAATTAACTAGAGCCAGAACCTGCTCACCTTGTTTCAGCTCAGGCCCTGCGGAGCAAGAGCGAGTGAAAAGCAGTTTGCTGGTCTCCAGTCACCCGAGGGACAGGCGAGGTAGGATTAAGGACAGTGGAGGTGGAATGGCCCTGTCCTCTCCTCAGGCAAGACTGACACCTTCTGGGGCAAGAAATGCAGGGGGGGGATGCAAGGGGGAGGGGGATTAGGGCAGCAACAGCAAAGGCAGCAGTGGCCTCTGCCTGAGGACACACAGGACTTCACGGGGGGGGGGGGGTGGCGGGACAAGATTCCCAGTCCTTTGTGGTGGTGGGAGAGTCTTAGAGTGGGGGCTTGTATGGGTGGCCACCCTGAGCCCAAAACTTGCTGGGATCAAGAAGTCACCCCCAGCTGGAGCCCTGGGATTTGGCTGAAACAAGCTGGCTCCTGGCCACCAAGGCGAGAGAACCAGGGGGCTGCCCAGTTCGGCTGAAAAACTAAGGAGAGGACCTCCCTCCTCCACCCTGAGGCTGAGTCACCAGGCCTCTGGAGGAGTGCCAATGTCATCATGACACAGCGGGAACCACATTGCTCACAAATGTCCCAGGTGGGTCCTGGGTGCCTACCAGGCCCGTAGTCACCATGGGCCAGGTGAAGAAACTAAGGGTGGACAGCCATGTGGATCCCAGCCTTGCCGTCAGCACATGGGGGAACCTGGTAGCCCCAGTTCCAGTGCTGTCAGGTGGGCAGGATGCCCTCGAAGGCCTGAGGGACAGCTGGAGAAGGGGGAGTGGCTCAGCTGGGGCTCACTGAGAGATTCCAAGTCACTCTCTGGAATCCTCTTGGCTGAGAAGCTTGGAAGGGGAAGCAGGCCAGGGAGGGAGGGGCAGATGGTGGCCTGCTTGCTTTGGGCTGTCTTGCTGGCCTGGGCATGGGTCGTGGCTCACCAGCCATTGGCCTCCTTTTATTTTTCTGGGTCACAATGAGCTTGTCATGACTTAGGGCGACTTAGGGCTTTAGAGGCTTGCTCTTCTTCTCACCTGGGTTGCCCTCTCCTCCATTACCCGAAGGCTTAGCTCTTCTGGCCCTGCCTGTGGGACCTATGTGTAGTGTGGGTTAGGGATATAAGGGCCCACCTGTGACTTCTGTATATGTATTCCTCTATGGGACACCTTGGTGTCTGGCCCTTTATAGTTCACAGGCCGAGTGTGCAAAGCAGGGACTGGGGCTGTGTCCCGAAGGGGCACCTGATTGCTGTGTGCTGAATGAATGAATAATTGGAGAATCTGCTGGCTTCCCAGAGCTGTTGGCCCCTGCCAACACCCGCTGGCACAAGGACAGGCCTGTGAGTGGGAGCTGCCCACTGTCCTGGGGGACACAATGAGGCTCTTCACAGAGGCTTCACTCTGCCCTGAAGCTGGAGCAGCACTTCCCATTTCTGCTCTGGCTGCTCTGCTCCTCAAAGCAGAGAGGAGAGCAGAGGAAAGGGAACCCGGCAGATTGCAGTGAAACCAGTTGCCCAAGCCCAACCCCAACCTCTGCTGTGATAACGAAGTTGGCCCCAGGGCGCTTATTTCAAAAGCCTTCCTTTCTGGGTTGTTGCAAATAAGCTCAATGCTCTCAGTGAGGGCTCAGGGCCTGGAGTTGCAACCCAGCCCATGATTGGGTCACCCTTAGCAATGCTCAGGCCAGCGTGGGGTGGGGACTGGAAGGGTAGAAAATTTGGCCAGGGTTCCAATCTCTCCCTCTCCTTGGACTGAGGGCCAAATACTCAAGAGTCCTAGGTGTTCAGCTAGTGGCTGACACTATGTGATCCACTTGGCTGCCTGCTCTGGGTCTTAATGGCATGGGCGGGAGGACAGTGTCCATGATGAGCCCCTCACCTTTCCCAGGCCAGGCTCCTCCCACCTGCCTCCTCATTCGTTTCCCCAGCTCTGACAAAAAATATGGAGGTCGCAGAGAGCAGCTGTGGCAAAGGAGGTGGCATACTTCATATGAACAGAGAACTCTGGAATTATTCCAGTACGGTGGGGCCTACAACATGCCAGACAGGTGCTAAGCTACTGCCTAGCCTGGTAAGAGCCACATGGTATCTGGGTAAGGTGGCCCCACCTGTAACCCTAGCTACTAGACAGGCTGAAGCAGGAGGGTTGCAAGTCCAAAGCCAGTTTGGACTACACAGCAAGAACTTGTCTCAAAACAAATGGTAAAACTGGTAACACGGTGGTCAGCAGATCCTTGTGCACAACAAGGTTAAAACAACCAACCAAAACTCCTTCCAATGTCTGGCTCTGCATAGATGTTGCTGCAGGATGGCATAAGAGGGACCATGCCCTAGCTTAAGGGCAAGGCTGGACCTTGGCCAGCCCTGCCATGTACCCTCAATATGCCACCCCTCTGACTTGGCTTCTACTCTTTGGCCTTTTCGATTGGAGCAAACCAGCAGTTGTGCCAGGACGGCACACAGGCCTAACTTCTCAGTGGGTCTGGAAACGGTGGTCAAGAGGAGGTGACTGAGGGAAGGCCTGACATCCAGGCCCAGGAGACTTGCGCAGTAGAGGGGCAGACAGAACCTCAGACCCAGCTGCTGGTGCCCACTGTGTAACTATGGTCAAGTAACAGACACGTGTGGCAACAACCCTGAGCCGGCAGCATCCTGCTTGCACCTGTTTTCCTCATGGAGGAGGAGGGAGTGCAAGGAGCCAAAGCTGCACCTCCTGGAAGTTGTGGGACTCCAGGTAGCTTGCTTGGTTGTGAAAGCTGAGGCAAGGAATGGGCAGGGCCCCAGGCCCTTTACTGTGATTTTTCCGGATCTGAGGCTTGGGGAGACTCACCGACGCGCCCATAATGATGAAGATGTGGGTGTCGGCCTGGTGGAAGGCATCGCCCTGGTACAGCTCTTCCCGCAGGATCCCGCACACCTGGGTCCTGCTCAGTGCCACCTGCTCTGCCATGGTGCTGTCTGGCGAGAGAAAAACTGGTTGACAAGGCAGGAGGATAGAAGGCCACCAGCAAGTGGGCCTTGATCTCCAGGGGTCCTGTGGGCCCTCACCAGCTGGCTGCTGCGACCCAAAGGCCTGGCAATGAGCAGGGTCAGGAGGGACTTGGGGCACAGCCTGTCGCTGCGGTTCGCTGGGCTTCCTCCCTCCTCCTCCCGGGCTGCCTCCTTTGGGGGCGTGCGAACAGATCTCTGGCAGGGCAACAATTCTGGGCAACAGCAGAGCACTCTGCCAGGCCACCCCACTACATGCCCGGGGCCACACCCTCCGGACGCTGCCCCAAACTTCACGCCGGGCCAGAGCGCATCAGATTATGCAGATGATGGAGCTTGGGTCCAATACTGCCCTAGAAGACTCCGGCCTGCCTCTCCCCTCTTCAGGGTCTCACCCTCCCGCGCCCCGAGGGGGCGGTGCGCGACACAAAGGGGTCCACCTCGACTCTCCCCACTCGACGCCGCTTTCAAACGCGGTAAACCGCACGGAACAAGGGGCGCGCGGCGTAGAGGCTGGCAGCGCGTCCCTCCGCCGACGCTGTGCCTGCCCGTCCGTTTACCTGCGCCGCGCAGCCGCCGCCGCCGCCTCCACCGTTGCCCGCCCGCTGGCCACGCTCGAAGCCCGGCAGTGCACGGCCGTTTCCGGGGGCTGCGCCCCGCCAGCCCATTTAACAGGCGGGGGCGGGCGCCGAGGCTGATCTGACTGGCCTCAGGCGAGGCGCGCGGGGGCGGGGCCTGAGGCGAGGAGCGAGGGCGGGTCTCCGCGGTTCCTCCTGAGCGCGCGGGCTGGGGGAGAGGGCAGGTGCACGCGCATCCCCAGGCGGCCTCGTGCGCGAGCTGTCACTCCCCTCAGGCACCTGCGTAGGCGGCCGCGCCACTCCACGTACGCTCTGCCCGCTTCTCCTCGCGGGCACGCGTACGGCTCCGTGAGGCCCCCCCCTCCCCAGGCGTCGCCGCGGCCAGCAGGGCCTCACACTGCAGCCTGTTTTTCCCGGTCGCCCCTTGGTGGTCCTCGCTCTCGCGGGATGCTCCACTTCCGCCGGCGGCGTGACCACGCCTCTCCTAGCGTTCCCTTCGGTTTGTGGGTGGGGCTTCCTGAGTTTTGTCCTGGCTCTCAAGGCTAGGGCGAGCATCCTGTGGGGGGGTAGGTGTGGCCGCTCCACAGGCTAGGGGCTGTGTAGGCGGCGACGCCCTGGAAAGCAGAGGGTGTTTATCACTGGACAGCGCCCTGTGGACTAGCCGAGGCCGGCGAGCTCCCGCTCTCTTCAGAGCAGGACGCAGCTTTGCGGTCCTCGCACCTCGGCAGCCTCTGCTATTCCTGGGGTCGCGGCTTGTATGTTTTACTTCCGGATCCCACAGCTACGACACAGGAAGCCGGAAGCGGGGGTTTCCAGGGTTGAGAAGGGAAGGGCGACTGCTGAACCCGGCAGCTCCGCGCCCCTAGGAGGGCTCGCAGCCCGCCGCTCCTGCCCTCCATATTTCTGACCGACTCTGCTGACAGGTGTGGTGTCCTGCTTGTCTCCCAAGACGCCTCCGGCTCCAGGCTCCCCCTCCTGCTTGGGCCCCCGCGTCCCTCCCTGCGGTGTTCTTCTGGAGCATCGGCCCAGGGGCTAGGGTGTGGCTGGGTGGCCGAGAGCTTGTCTGGAGCATTGATCGGGAGGATTCCCGACCCAGTTTGCTTGGGCGGCGAGTGGACTAATTGTGCTCCTCCTGTTGCAGTTGCCGCTGCTGCCGCCGCCGTTGCCTCGGGGTCAGCTTGTACGTACCCCTAGGGGCTTTTCCACTGCAGACACATTCTCCGTTCTCGCGCTTCAGTTAACTCTCTTCGCAGAACGGTTGATAGCTACTTGTCCCCCCCAGGCCATTTTTACTACCCGAGAATGAATGGGCCGCCCAGGGTATTCTAGGAGCTGCAAGGAGCGCTTAGAGCTGGAACTGAGAGCGCGAGGGCCGAGTAGTCGAAAGGAATGGGAGAACAGATGATGCGGGGCCTCAAGCGCTGTGGGAACGTGAGAGCAGTGAAGGGGTTACCGCGTAGACAGATTTTACTGGCCCTGGGGGCCGGAGACCGTAGACTAGGGGCAAAGATTAGAAACAAGGTGATCTGTTAGGAAGTGATTGCAATAATACAAGTGATATTATTAATCTGACATTTTATTCTTGAAGAATTAAAAATGTACACAAGTAGGAAGGTCTGTAAATCCCATTGCCCATCTCTTAGCTTTCAGTAGTTATTGGCTTGTGGCTAGTTTTGTTTAATTTATACTCCTCAGAGTCCTCTCCCGTTGTTTTCAATAATAGCTCTTTAGGGATATAACTTCCATTCCACACTGTTTCCCTGTTTAGAGTGTACATATGACTTTTGTACATTGACAAAGGTGTTCAGCCATCACCTAATTCCAAAACATTTTCATCACTCTCAAAAGACACTGTATTTTTAGGTATCACCCCCCCCCCACTCACCGCATTGCCCTAAGTAGCCTCCACATTACTTCGTGCCCCTATGGATTTGCCTATTGTGGACATTTCTTTCTTTCTTTCTTCTTGGTGCTGGGGATCGAACTCACGACCTCATAGTTGCCAAGTAGGCACTTATGCTGCTGAGCTAAATCCCCACCCCTGTGGACATTTCTTATAAATGAAATTGTACAACATGTGGCCTTTTGTGAATTGTTTTTCTTAGTGCAGTGTTTGAAAGTTTGGTTTGTGCTGTAGTATGTGGTTGTGCTTGACTACGAGTTGGTGACATTCAGGTTTTTTCCTCTTTGGCTGCTCTGAGTAATGCTCCTGTGAGCATTCATATCACATTTCCCTCTTTATTTTGAAGTGAGTTTCAAATAACATGTTTAAGTATTTTAGTATGTGTCTTTATTAGAGTAGATTTTAAGCATTGTGACCACAGGACTGTGTAGGTGCCTACAGTAGTTAATGTAGAATTTCCTGATGCATTGTATGTGTGCTGGGATAGGGGGGTAGAGACCCTTTTTTTTCCCCCCAGCTGCTGGTGGTTTGCTTGTTCCCTGGCTTGTGGTCACGTCACTCTAGTCTCTACCTCTGTTTTCAGGTGGCTTCTTCCCATATGGTTCCCTCTTTTCTCTTGTGTCTTTTAACCACATTTGTTGGGGTCCATGTGACCCAGGATGGCCTCATGTTGAGATCCTTCATCCATGTATGTCTGAAAAGACCCTTTTCCAGATACTGTTGCACTTGGGGTGAAGACATAGACACAAGGTCTTCAGGGCTTACATTTAGCTGCTTACACTAGGTGAGGGCCAGGACCTCCCCCTTCTGTGTAGAGGTATGTGGAACGGACAGGGTTCCCAGCACTCTTGACATTTCTCTCAGTCATCATCCTCTGCTTTTGATAAAAGCCCTGCTTCAGCATCTAGTTCTGCTGTACAAAGGGATTGCAGTTCTGCTGCGCTGTTGCTGTTGGCCCAGAGCTCCTGCCAGGGCAGGAATGTGGCACTGTCCCCTGTGACACCCCTGCTGCCCCCACCCCCAGGCGCTGTTGTGGTGGATGAGCAAGCACCCCTGGAAGAGTCAGCTGTGTGAGATGGTGCAGCCTGGCAGTGGCCCAGCAGGGGACCAGGACATGCTGGGCGAAGAATCCCCTCTTGGGAAGCCAGCAATGCTACAGCTGCAGGTGGAGCAAGGCAGTCCCGAGGCCCTGCAGCACTGTCTGGAGGAGAATCACGAACTTCGAGGTGAGGAGGGCTGCATCTCTGCTCTGATATGTGCAGCCACTGGGCCCCTCTGGGTTTCAGCTGGAGCTCCCTGGGAGTAGATCCTGAGTGGGCCGAGTATGCAAGACGCATATTTAGAGGAGTCCCAGGACCAGTACTGGGGAAGGACATCGAAGGGGGCGGGTGAGCAGAGAAGGCAGTGGGCTCCAGGAACAGGGACCTCTGGAGGTAGCATGGCTTTCCCAGTGGGCAAACGTAGCCAGGCCTGTGTCCCTGCCCTGAGCAAACCATGAGCATTGGCACTTCAGTGAGGGGCATGGCCTGCCCCGAGATGGGATCTGGCTCTCCTAGGAAGCCACCATTTCAGGGTCATAATCAGTCACCACTGTCCTTGGGTCTTGGCCTCAGTGAAAGACCTGCCTTTGAGTGGGTGGCTGGGGACTGAGTATTTTACAGGGCCACCCTCTGGGTCTCTAGAACTGTCCCCCTCATCCTGGCACTACTATTGGAAGGCAGCTGTACCGACCACCCCTGCAGCATGACATCCTCCTTCCTGCCCCCTCTCCTCATTGCCTCCCCTCCTGATCAGGGCTCAGGATTATAACCCCTATGGGTAAAGGGACCCCCTTCTGACTTGCTGGTCCTTTGGCATGAGTGAGCCCTAAATGCCTAGATGACCTCTATAGTTTTTGAATTATCAGGACCCAAAAGCCAATGAATTAAGTGTGCCTTGCAGAAGCATAGGGTCAGATTTTTCTCTGTAATGAATTTGGAAGATTGGAAGAAGTGGTGGGGGCTTACATGTTTAGATGGTTGTCTGTCCTGGCTGGGGGGGCAGCAGTTCAGCATTGCCAGGGGGAGGTTACCTGCTTGGCACCAAGGCCAGATTGTCAGGACTTCCTGTCCCCCAGATGCCATCCGGCAGAACAACCAGATGCTGCGTGAGCGCTGTGAGGAGCTGCTGCACTTCCAAGCCAGCCAGAAGGAGGAAAGGGAGTTCCTCATGTGCAAGTTCCAGGAGGCCAGGAAGCTGGTGGAGAGGCTGAGCCTGGAGAAACTGGAGCTGAGGAGGCAGAAGGAACAGGCATTGCAGGAGGCGGAGCAGCTGAAGAGATGCCAGCAGGTAGCCGGTGGGCAGGCTGGGCCCCTTTGGGGAACCCTACTATGTTCAGAAAACTGCAGAGTACTTGTGGCTGGTGTTCTCCTGCAGGACTACCTGCTTGGCTCACTGGGGACTCTAGGACCCTGCAGACCATTAATAAAAGGATGCAGTGGTACAGGTGTCTGAGTTAAGGGTCAGGAGAGGTCAGTAGGAATGTCCAGAGGCCTGGTGGGGTGCAAGACGGCTTGTGTGTGACCTTGTTACCCAGGAGAACCTCAAGCCTCATGTCTGGGGGTTCTTAACAGGGGGGTGGCGTAGGCTTGAAGCATCGAGTGGCTGACACTGGTGGCTTGGGTCCTAGCCACCCAGAGGTCCAGCTGGCACCATGTTGCCCAAGGTGCCTACTTGTGTGTGGCGCCAGCATAGACTGCCTGGCAGGACCCTAGACCCAGTGAAAAAAGCAAGGTACTTTCACCAGGCAGGGTCTTCAGGGACTTAGCACTCCTTGCCTGGGATGTGCAGGAGGCTCAGCCTGCCTGGGAGCTGACCTTGTCCTGCCTTGTCTGCAAAGGATGGCATGCTCAATATGGGCAAAGGAGAGTACTTCAGTCTTTCTAGCTTGACCAGTGACAGGGCCCTGGTGACAGTAGGTCAGCAGGGGTGCACAGTCTGGGAGGGGCAGAGCCACAGACAGATTCCCTGCCACAGACAGATTCCAGCCTTGGAGGATGTGTACCTCACTGTGGGCAGTGCCTGGCTCAGAGTATTGCTTTCCTATTGGGGAGTCATGTGAGTTTGTCAGGGCACACTGGTACCAGGGATCGAACTCACGACCTCACGCTTGCAAGGCAGGCACTTATGCCACTAAGCTAAATCCCCAGCCCCCTAAACAGCAATTTCTTATCCCCATTGTTCCCCAGTTCTGGGGTCCAGGGATTTGAGATGAAGGTCTGGCAGTATGGGTTACTTTTGGGGTCCATGAAGGAACTCATCCCCTGTCCCCTCTGCCAGTGCCCAGTAGCCCGGCAGTCCTTGGCACTCCTGGGTTGGCAGCCTCTGCCACTGTCATCATGAGGCCACCTCCCGGTGTGTCCCCTCCCTTCTTTGTATAAGGACTCCAGTGTCAAAGAGGAACAAGGGTGGACATTTGTCAGAGCTCCAACAACAGACTTTGTTCATTGACGACTGGTGATGGGGAAAGAGCTGAGCTCTATGGCCACCTGCAGAAGTGAGAGTTGGGGAGGGGGTCCTGGAGAGATCTGGGGCTGGAGTGTAGCTCAGTGGTGGAGCATGCATTTAGCACGTGTGGGCCCTGGGTTTCTGTCTTAGTCAGTTTCCCAGTGCCGGGACAAAATCCCCAGCAGCACAATTTAGAGGAGGAGGGATTGTGTGGCTCACAGCCTCAGAGAGCTCAGTCCGGGGTTAGCTGCTCAGGGTGGGAGCAGCATGGCAGAAGGGCCAGGTTGGGGAGAGCTGCTCACCCATGGCAGCCAGGGAGCAGAGACCAACCAGCTCCCCCCATCAGCAGCACATCAGCCATGAACCCATCCATGGGTGAGTCCGCTGAAGTCTGTAGCAGCCTGTGACCCAGTCACCCCCCGAAGCCCTGCCGCTAGACACTGGAAACTTTTTTTTGTGTGAGGGAGGTCATTTTAGATCCAGACCATGACATATTCTACTCCTATAAAGAAGAGAGTGAGGCAAAGAACCAGGGAGGGAGGGAGAGAGAAGTGCGTTGGATGGGGAAGGATGCTCAAGTAAAAAATGACAATGGGTGTCAGTGTCCACACAAAGAGGCACATATCACGGTTAGGACCATGTCGTGTCCTGGTGCCCAAGGGAGTCTGACCCCAGCCCCATTCCCAGTGATTCTGTGTTAAAGGATCGCTCTCAAGTCTCTGGACACTGCTGGGGTGCAGCAGGAGCAGACATCTTAGAGGGCCAGAGGAGCATTTGTTAAGTGCTCCAAGGGAGGCCGGGGACCTGTGTCAGTTGTAGCCAGAGCTTTCCAGACAGGCCTAGAAGGCACCTGGGATGTCCTAGGAACGTGGTCAAGGCTGCCAGGAGTGTGTTGGATTTGGTCAGGTCTTGGGGCAGGGAGGTGAACTGTGTACTGTTTTTGTCAGTCTTGGTATTTACTAAGATTCAGCAGCCACTCCTGCTTGGCTGAGCCTCTCATCTTCTAGTAGGCCCATGTTTATGTTGCTGTCTTTGGATCCTAAAGCTGCTGAGAAAAAAGTTCCTGCTTAGGCCATACCCATGTGGTCTCTGTGTTCAGCCCTCACCGTCTGATGGCCAGGGCAGTGGCTAAGCTGTTGCAGTGTTGCAGTATTCCAGGTGCCTCTGTGTCCCTGCACCCCTTGAGGTCCTGTCACTTCACCTACAGGGGTGGGGAAGGGACCCTGGAGGTAGGGGTTCCTAGGAATTGATAGCTTTCTGTTGCCCAGGCTGTTTCACTGGCTTGGGCAGCTGCCAGAGATGAAGAGTGGGATGAGTGGGGGTGGAAGGACACTGATGGATGCGTCTCTGCCAGTAGAGAGAGTAGAGGTGGAGACCAGGGGGTTAGGGAGCCATTGGGCTCCCTGAGGTGCAGGGTTTGGGGGTGTTGGGTACAGAAACATAGCCCTCAGGGGTGTAGCCTGAGCTGCTGCTGGGCTACCTCAGGCCTTAGGAGAAAGCAGAGCTGACAGGAAATGATTCTCCTGCAGCAGATGGCTGAGGACAAGGCATCTGTGAAAGCCCAGGTGACATCCTTGCTGGGGGAACTCCAGGAGAGCCAGAGCCGCTTGGAGGCTGCCACCAAGGAACGCCAGGCTTTGGAGGCCAGGTGAGTGGCATTTTAAGGGCCCCAGCCCCAGAACCGTGGGCACATCTCTTAGAGGGCCAGGACCTGGTGTGGTTGCCATCCTGGCTGAGTTTCACATAGTGCTGGTGTAGGGGCCCAGGAAGACCACTAGAGAAGTGGAGACCACTGCCGTGCCATTGTCCCTGCTTGTCTATTGGGCGGGTCATCTTGAGTTCATGTGCCAGGTGCTCACTGAGATGCTGGGCCCCTGGGAGAAGGCAGGTGCTCCGAATAGGCCTCATGGCTTGCATGGTTCCTCGGAGCATGCCTCCTTGTCAGCATGGAGAGAAGCTCTGCAGTGCCAGCCCAGCCTCACCTGCCTGCCCCTTCCCTTGCAAAGGGATTTGGTTGCAATAAGTGGGACATTAGATTGGGGCCAGGGATGCTACTGTGGTGCTCGCCACCTCATTATGTCCCCCCCTCAGGTATTTCCTCCCAGCTCAGGTGCATGCGGGGTGATCATGTCTTTCCCCAGCTCTGTCCTTAGTGTTCCCCCATCCTGCACAGGGCTCGGGCTGCCAGTGAGCAGGCGCGGCAGCTGGAGAAGGAGCGTGAGGTGTTGCAGCAGCAGCACAGCGTGCAGGTGGACCAGCTGCGCATGCAGAACCAGAGTGTGGAGGCTGCGCTGCGCATGGAGCGCCAGGCCGCCTCAGAGGAGAAGTGAGTGGACGCCAGGGCCCATCCCATGCAGCCGTGGGTCTCTGGCACCTGGATGTCGGCTGCACTACAGATATTATGCATCATCTGCCTAGAGGCTATGCTGCTGCTCTCTCTCTGTATGCCTTTTCAGTGTCCTTTAATCCAGAACAGCTTCTCTACTCTCTGTGCTTCATGAAGCTGATGCTTTGGAAGGCTGAATCCATTTGACCATGGTCATCTCACTTCTTTGTCTTCTTTTTGGTGTTAGGCCTTGTGCATGCCAGGCAAGGACTGGCACCACACTATACCTGCGTTCTTAGTACAAACATTTTAAAATGTTGGCTTTGAGAAAAAGGATAAGAACTGAGTGATCATGTCAGTTGTAGGACACTTGCAGGCCCAGCTGGTGGCCCTAGGGCTCCAGCTGTACACTTAGAGGCCTTCTTCTGAGGCTGGGAGGTAGTGAGGGGGAAGAGGAGAGATGGACGCAGGCCTGTGACCAGCCACAGCTCCTTTTCCATAGGCGGAAGCTGGCCCAGCTGCAGGTGGCCTATCACCAGCTCTTCCAGGACTATGACAACCACATCAAAAGTAGCATGGTGAGCGGCGAGCGCAAGCGAGTAAGTATGGCATGCTAGGCCTTCCAGGGCTGGCCTCGGCTCTTCTTGACACCTTGATACGGTGGCTTTTGGGAGGGACAGTGTGCAGATGTAGTGGTTGGGGAAAGGCCATGGGGAGAGGGAGCCCAGTAGCAGGCTGCCTTCACAGTGGTCTTGGCCCCTGTCTTGCATGTTCTCCCTGGAGGGCTAGAGACACACTTGTCTCCAAGGCCAGGTTTCCCGGGCCAGATGAGTCTGAGGAATGCTTCTACCCTGGCATGGAAAGGTGGCCAGAAGCCCTCTTTGATTTCATTCTCCCCAGACCTAGACTGGGTGTGGTTTCTGGCAATTACATTTTCAGAAAGACATTGTCAGTGTGCATGTACCCTGAGGAGATTTGTAAGGATTAAGCTTGAAAGCAGATCACAGGAGGAAGCGTTAATTATAAAAATGGCCACTTAATCGCCATGGAGTGGCTAGTCTCCATGGAGAGTGCGCATGTGCATGCATGTGGGGCACCTGTGGATGAGAGGGCTTTGCCCAGGTGGTGGAGTAGAGGACCAACAGGAGGAAGCTTAGCTGTGTGTGCAGGGGAAGGAAGGTGGCACCTGTCTTGAAGGGTCACAGGTCCGTCTGTCTGGCTCAGGGGAAGCAAGTGCTGGGAGAGGTGGTGGCCCATGATCTCAGAGGTCCACTCAGTCCTGAGATCCCTAGGAGAACCTTACCTTCTGTCCTTGGTGGGGATGGGACACACACCTCTCCTTGCACACACTGGGCTCGTGTGACTGGCTCCCAACTCTGGACGCTGTCCTCACTGTGTCAGCACCCCTGGCCCTCCTAGGGGATGCAGCTGGAGGACCTGAAGCAGCAGCTTCAGCAGGCCGAGGAGGCCCTCGTGGCCAAGCAGGAGGTGATTGATAAGCTGAAGGAGGAGGCTGAGCAGCACAAGATGGTGATAGAGACGGTGCCAGTCCTGAAGGCACAGGTGAAGCCCTCTTCTGGGCATCGTCTTATGTGGCCTCGTGTTCTGTGGGCTCACACTGCTTCTGCCTTTCTGTGCCCTGTGGGTTACTTGCTGGTCTGTCTGCTCCCTCTGGGGGTGGGAGTGGGGGCTCTACTCTGTCCCCCAGGCCCAGCAGGCTGTGCCCAGCATGTAGCTAGTGGCTGGTAGCTGGTGGCACGTCCCTCTCACACTTGCCAGGCGGACATCTACAAGGCTGACTTCCAGGCGGAGCGGCAGGCCCGGGAGAAACTGGCAGAGAAGAAGGAGGCACTGCAGGAGCAGCTGGACCAGCTGCAGCGCGAGTTCAGCAAGCTCAAGGCCAGCTGCCAGGAGTCAGCCAGGTGGGGATCTGTGCTGGGCTCCCTGGTGCTCTTGTCTCCTGCTCTGCCCCCTGGGCCTGTGGGAGCTCAGAGCCTACGTGTGTGTGCGCTCAGCTGGTGGTTTGCCTCTCCCCAGGATGGAGGACCTGAGGAAGCGGCATATGGAGGTCCCGCAGCCTGTGCTGCCTGTCTCTGGTGAGTGGGTGTGTGTTGGGGTGCTCTTGATCCTCCATCAGGAGCCCAGCCCTGCCTTGGGATAGATGTCATGCTACTGGTTCCTGCTAGTCACACGTGGATAGGGACACTTGTAGCCAAGGCCCTGGCACCTCTTGACACCCAGCCGGCTTGTTCTCTCTCCCCAGGATACCGTTCCTTTCACATGCCCAATCAGAGGAGGAGTCCCCCTGAGGAGCCCCGGGACTTCTGCTGTCCCAAGTGCCAGTATCAGGCACCTGACATGGACACTCTGCAGATCCACGTCATGGAGTGCATCGAGTAGGGTCAGCCCCTGCCACGCCTGGGACCTTGCTGCCTCTGCCATCCTTCCAGTCCAGAATTGAGGACTTGGTGCCACAGAGCAGGCCCAGTGGGTAGCTGCAGGGCCCTGCCTTGGCCCTTTGCTTTTCTACTCCTCTCCTTCCCTTCTGTGTGCCGAACCACTTCTTCTCCTGCCAGCCCAGGAGTCCAGGAGGGAGGCAGGCTCTGGAGATCGGGGTTTTCCTGGCCACACACCTGCCCCAAATGCCACTTCTCCTGGCGGTGGCTCCCACCAGGCAGCGACCCCGTGGTGGTTAGCCAGTACCGTGGATGGGCCTTTGGGCCAGTTGCAGTGTTTCTGCTCATTAAGAACAGTGCAGTGAAAATGCTGGCATGCTCATCACTAAGAGGTGAGCTGTGGCCTCGAGGATGGGCATGTGGACCTCTGGCTTTCAGCTGTTGGCCAGACCCTCTTCCCTAGGAGTGAGCAGAAGCCTCTTTTGAGGGTGGTGGCCCTTATGTCTGTGGCTGTGAGCTGGCTGCACTTGTTTTTCAGCCATTTTTCTATTGGGTTGTTGCCTTTTATTTTTCAGTTTTTAGCAGCATTTTGGTCATTCGGCGAGAGTATTTTTGTTTGTGACAGAAACTGCACACATCTTTTCCTACTTTGCTTTTGCTACCAGTGGTTTTTGGCCATGAAGGTTTTTTGTGTTTTTGAGACAAGGTTTCACTATGTAGGCCAGGCTGGGCTCGAACTGATTCTTCTGCTTCAGTCTCCTGGGGTACTGGGATTACGCCCAGCAGAGGTTTGTATGTATTTGTTTATGTAGTCACATCCACTTTCTCCCTTGTACTGCTTTGGGTTTGGAGTTGCCAGCTCTTTGTAGTCTGTCAGAGGGGTACTTCAAGCTTGAACACTTTTCTTTTGCAATCGCCAAAGTATGCCCTCACCTTTGCCCAGTGTATATTGCCTGGTGTCAGTGGTGGCCACAGCCCATCATGTTCTAGAAGTTGATGATGCCATGTCCTCCACAAGCCCCAGACACTGGACTTGCAAGTGGAAGCCAGTTGACACTGACGGGTAGATCAGGGGCATTTGGAGGATGACACAGTCATTCTGGTGCAGGGAGGAAGTCAGAAGCTGGGAGGTGGGAAGGCCTGCAGTACACACGCGTCCCTAACCCTGGGCTCTGGGCCCTCCTCTCCACCCTTGCTGTGCTCGCCAGCCCAGGGCCTCCTGTTTTGTGCTTGTGAAAGGCCTGGCCGAGTCTGCAGGGGCAGCCAGCGGCCTTTCTGTTTCCTGAAGTCCAGGTATCTCAGCATCTTGGCCTTTGGGAAAATACCGGAGGCCCAGACAGGTTCTGTCACGGCTCCTACATTTCAGTCTTGTCTTGAAACTTTTCTGCAAGAGCACTCTTGGTTCTTCGTCTGGTTACTTAAAAAATAACAAAATCTCATTCTGTCATGTTTTGGAAATCATAATCTGAAGGCAAGTTGTTTCTTTGGTATTCTTTTTTTTTTTTCTTGAGACAGTATCTTGCTATATGGCCCAGGAACTCCCATGATCCTCTTGTCTCAGTCTTCCAAGTGCTGGGATGACAGGTGTGTGTCATCATGCCCATCTTGAGTTGTGTCTTCACACTGAGAATCAGTCCAAGGCCTGGCTTGAGCTTTGGGCAGTTGTTGGCAGTCTTAGTGTTCCTCCAAAAGGGCCTACCCTTTTGGTCTCTGCCTTTGGTCATGTGGCCACATTCTGCTTTGTCCTGGTTTTATAAGGACATCATGCCTTACACATAGGGCCCTCTGGATAAGCCAGGTGATTCACCTTAAGAGCCTTACCTTTGCCAAATAAGGTCATATTGACAGGTCCCTGGGGCAGGACCTGCACAGTGTTGAGGCTGGGTTGTCCTCCACTCCTGACCAGGAAATCTCTGCCAGTGGAACTTGGTCCCAGGGTAATGGTGGCCACCAGATTGCAGGCACAGAGATATCTTGTTTCCAGGTGGATACTGCTACAGGTGCCTATAGATGGGGTACCTGATCTCTGGGTAGTGGCCGCTGGCTGTGGTGGACTTTGTGCTTTGTGGGAGGGTGAACAGAGCACTGTGGGCACTCTCTCTGGTCAGCACTCTTCAGAAAGGAGCATGGCAGGGTGCGAGTGAGAGCTGTACCAGTCAGGAGCGGGGCCAGACCCAGGCCCTTCTGCTGCCTTCTGTGGTGCCTCACATCAGACAGCAGGGCCTCTCGGTTCTGCTGCTGACCCAGACCTGGAGCATGCTGCAGTCTTTTCTGGTGCTGTGTAGACTGGGTTCCCTCAAGGGAAACCACCTCTGTGCCTTAGCAGCTGCGATCCTCGCTCTGTCCTGCTGCTGCCTGGTGCTGAGAACTCCAGGTGGCCAACTAGCCCAGTATGAGAGGGCCCGAGGCTATAGGCACTCACAGTAGTTGGAAGCGATAATCAGAATGGCAATGCGTGCAGCTCTAGGCATGGCGTCCCGTCAGTGAAGTGTGGCCACAGCCGCGTGACGATACCCTCTGAGGGTACTTCATGGTGACCTAGAGTCCGCACTGGGAGTGTCCTAAGACAGTGGAGTGCTAACAGCAACTTCTGCCTTTGGAGTGACTCATGCTTCATCTTTTTTTTTTGTCTTTTTCCTTTTTATCGGTACCGGGGATCGAACTCACGACTGCCTGCTTTCAAGGCAGGCGCTTATGCCGCTGAGCTAAACCCCCAGCCCCCATGCTTCATCTTTTGTAACTGCCAAAGGCCATGTTGAAATCAGAGGCCATGGATCTGGTGGCACAGTCCTGAACAGCCAGTCTTGATATCTTGTCACATATGACATGCTGTGGAGTTAGTGTGACAAGGCCCAGACATAAAATTCATTGTACAGTGTGAAATAAAGATGTAAATGCTGCAGGTGTGGCAAGATGACCAACAATGAAAATTTCCTTGTGTGTTTATGTATATTTCCTCCATGCATGATTATGTGTAACCTTGGTCCGGGTCAGCCCTATGTTGGTGCAGCTCAGGTTTTCTAAGCTCACTGCTGATAGGACTGTGTGTCAATGGGCGAGGGCTGGGTGTGGTGGTGCACCCTATTGTCCCAGTGCTCAGGAGGCTGGGGCTGGATTGCCATGGGTTTGAGGCCAGCTAGGCTACATAGTGAGTTCAAGGCCAGCCTGAACTACATAGTGAGACCCTGTCTCAAAAAAAAAAAAAAAAGATTAAGTGGCATGAGAACACTGAGGTCCTGTCTCACAGTGATGAAGAACAAAGCCGCTGATGGAGGAGGCAGAGTGCAAGCCAATTTATTTAAAAGATGTGAAGGCAAGGAAGTAAAAGATGCAGAGGGAAGGAATCAAGAGCACCTGTGGGCTGGGAGGGGTTCTGTGTGCAGGTGTGTTAGGGAGCTCTAATCTCCGCTCTATAGTGGGACAGCAAAAACAAAAGATGGGTAGAAAGAGACAGGTCATAACTAAAAATTATACCTTTTTTTACTCTTTTTTTGTGGTACCAGGGATTGAATTTACAACCTCATGCTTGCTAGGCAGATGCTTATGCCACTGAGCCAAATCCCTGGCCTAAAAATTATACTTTTAAGAAGATTGCAAGTTCCGGGACGGGCGTCGGCTGAAACTACCCAAGATGACCCACCAGTAAAAGGACATAAAATGGTTCAGTAAGAAAGGCTGAGACCCCTGAGAATGTTTGAATTACCTATTCAAAACAAACTGGGTCCATGGCTGCAGGACCCTTCCTGAGGGGGGAAACCATTTATTCCAGAGCTTTCCATCCCCTCAAAAGGAGAAACTTTACCAGTTCCAAACTAATCCCCACTCACTGTTAAGCGCATCCTAAATCTAATAAACTCTTCCTGGGGCTCTTAGTGATACATCCACGACAGAAGTCAGCTAACCTTCCTTATTTCAGCTTTGGGAATCTCTCAGACCCAACCTGGTGGTAACAGGAGACTGCTCTTCCCAGGGTCCCAGCGACACAATGCTCATGTGCCCTGGAGCATATGGATCATGCTTGTGGGGGGTGGGATGGGGTGTCCCTGACAGTTAAGGACACAGATGGTTGAGGTCCTTGGAGGCTAGGAGCCGCTGCCTAATAGAACCCTAAATTCTGTCTCACAAGCTTTTGCTATACAAGGGAACCAGGTGAAGTGCACACCTGTAATTCCAGCACTCTAGGGGGCAGAGGCCAGAGAATTGCAAGTTCAAGCCCAGCTCAAGGAGTTTACTGACCTAGCAAGACCTTGCCTTAAAAGAAATGTAAAAAGTGCAGGGCATATGGCTCTTGTAAAGACCCTGGGTTCAATCTCAGTGCTTCAAAAGAAGAAAAAATCTGGGCAAGGGGCCAGCTTAACACTTGGGAAGGCCTTTGTTTCCTGGATTTCCTGTGACTGCTGACACAAAATACCACACACTGGGGAATTAAACAGTAGCAATTTCTTGTCACCCAGCTTAGACCCAGGGGTCTGGAAGCATGGATTCCTTCTGGGGTCCATGAAGGAACTCATCCCCTGTCCCCTCTGCCAACGTCCAGTAGCCCGGCAGTCCTTGGCACTCCTGGTTTGGCAGCCTCTGCCACTGTCATCATGAGGCTACCTCCCGGTGTGTCCCCTCCCTTCTTTGTATAAGGACTCCAGTGTCAAAGAGGAACAAGGGTGGACATTTGTCAGAGCTCCAACAACAGACTTTGTTCATTGACGACTGGTGATGGGGAAAGAGCTGAGCTCTATGGCCACCTGCAGAAGTGAGAGTTGGGGAGGGGGTCCTGGAGAGATCTGGGGCTGGAGTGTGGCTCAGTGGTGGAGCATGCATTTAGCACGTGTGGGCCCTGGGTTTCTGTCTTAGTCAGTTTCCCAGTGCCGGGACAAAATCCCCAGCAGCACAATTTAGAGGAGGAGGGATTGTGTGGCTCACAGCCTCAGAGAGCTCAGTCCGGGGTTAGCTGCTCAGGGTGGGAGCAGCATGGCAGAAGGGCCAGGTTGGGGAGAGCTGCTCACCCATGGCAGCCAGGGAGCAGAGACCAACCAGCTCCCCCCATCAGCAGCACATCAGCCATGAACCCATCCATGGGTGAGTCCGCTGAAGTCTGTAGCAGCCTGTGACCCAGTCACCCCCCGAAGCCCTGCCGCTGGACACTGGAAACATTTTTGTGTGGTGGGAGGTCATTTTCGATCCAGACCACAGCACTGGCTCTGGAGGAGGAGAGGAAAATGAATCACAATGATCCTGGACTTAGGGTTTAAGCATCTTGGTATCCTGGACCCTGTACCAAGATGGGGAGGGACTATAGGGAAAGGGGAAAGATAGGGAAATGATAGGATGAAGGCTGTAGTAATCTTTCTGGCAAATTACAACTAAGAAGTGTTAAATCTGCTGGAAGGAGCAATTAGGAAAAGTAGGAGAGCTGACAAAGCAGGCTCCACCAGGTATCCCAGCCGCAGTTAGCTGTGCCCACCTACAGCAAAGTACAGAGGAAATAAAATGGGCTGGGAGCTACATAACAGAAAACTCAGTGTATAACTATAGAACATATATACTCACATCTGAACTGCTTTTATTGCTAATTCCACCTTATATGTATGGTCCCTCCTAAACAGCCTGTGCATTTCAGAGACAGGGCCTGACAGGACAAAGAAATGCAAATAAAACTCATTTAGAAATTTGTGTGTAGAAGATGCCAAGAGGGTTGGGGCCTTATGGCCTGTGACAGCCAATGAGGTTGTGATAAGCTCTGGGGAAAGAGTCTTTCTTTCACTAGATAAAAAGAGGTTGAAGAAGCCGTGGTGGCTCACTCCTGTAATCCCAGCACTCTGGAGGCTGAGGCAGGAGTACTGTTGTGAGTTTGAGACCAGCCTGGGCTACAAAGTGAGCTCAATGCCAGCCTGAACTGCATAATGAAACCCTGTCTCAAAAAGACAGAAAAAAAAAAAAAAAAGAGGCTGAAGCCAAAGGCCCTTGGGCTTTCTAGCCCAGGCCCCTATTCTCTCACCCAGGATGACTTTCTGTCCCTGCTCTTTTCCTCCTTTCCTGCAAATAGTGTCTTCCTTCCTTCCTTCGTCTGTGGTTCTTCATGGGGACAGAGTTTATAACCCCAGGGAACAACTCAGATGGGGAGAGCGGTGGAGCTGGAGCTGTGGTGTGGACAGGACTAGGAAGAGTGCCGGGTAGAGTGCTGGTGGTGACTTCCAGCTCTGGTTTGGCCCGGCTACTTTATGGTTCCCCATGGGGCTGTGGGCTCTGGAATTCATGCCTCACAGGGTGGGTGGCTGGTGTGCTGTGGTAAACCTGTTGTCTGCTTTGCTCTGTGCCCAGCAATGCTCTTCTACAGCCTCATGAGATTGGGTCTACCCTTTTTTTCCGTTCCACAAACACACAGCATTTTTGTATGTTGTTCTTGTTCTCTCTACTGGGAAGGCTCTGTCTCCTAATCTTTGCGAGGCTGACTTTTATTTGGTCATTGAGCTCTAAGTGTAAACATCACTTTCTTCATCTGAAGACTTTGTCCTAAATCACATTTCCCTGTTTTTACTCTTTTTGTTTCGTGTTCTCTGTCTACCCACTAGAGGACAAGCAGCAGCTTCCGCTGACCTAATCAGGCTGCATCCCCAGGACAATGCCCAGCATACGGCCACCCCCATGGGCATGCATGGATAACATGAGCTTGTCTCCCAGAGCCACTGGATTCCTGTCAATTGTTTATTTCTTTATTTTTCTGAGACAGGGTCTTGCTATGTAGTTCAGGCTGGCCTTGAATTCACTATGTAGCCCAAGCTGGTCTTGAACTCACGGCAGCCCTCCTGCCTCAGCCTCCCCAATTTTGGAGCTACAAGTGTGTGTCACCACTCCTCGCTTCATGTCAATTTTGTTATTTTTTATATTTTGATACCGGGAACCGAATTCAGGATTTTGCGCTTGCCTGGCAGGTACTGTGCTGCTGAGCTACATCACTAACCCCCTGTCAGTTTTTTTTAAAAAGTAACTTTATTGGTACACTCAATATACATAATGATCACATTTATCATAGGGAATGCTTTGTTTTGTTTTGAGATGGGGTTCTTACTATGTAGCCCAGGCTGGCCTTGAACTTGCAATAATGCTCTTGTGTCAGTCTCCCAAGTACTAAGATTGCACCACCAAGCCAGGACATCATACGGAATTTTTGTGTACACATGGCATATCTTGATTCCTGTCAGTCTTTGGAGACATCACCCTGTTACCATACATGGTAGTTGATAAAAATTACTGTATTAATTACAACACTGAAAATCTATTTTAGGGACTGGTTACTGACTTGGGGGGACTTCTTACAAGCATTTATTTAAATTTTTATTTATTGTTATTTGAGACAATTTCTTGCTGTGTATTCCAGGTTAGCTTTTATCTCACTATGCAGTCCAGGCTGGCTTTGAACTTGCAGTGATCTTCCTGCCTCAGCCTCTCAAGTGCTAGGATGACAGGTGTGGACCACCACACCTAGCTTCCCTAATAAGCATTTAAAAAATTGTTCAGAATTTGGGTGATCAGTGCATGTTACAGTCTGATACAAGACAAGAGGAGACTCAGGTCATGTGGCCAAGACCCAGTCTCCCTCTCCATGTCTCCAAAGTTGCTGATGGGATAGAGCATGTCATGCATCGAGAGCAGCATTGAGCTCAACAGAGAAGGGAAGGCTGGGAATGCAATGAGAGGTCTGGCGTGCTCAGTGCCGGATTTTCCATCACACTCTGAAGAGCTTCAAAGGCTGGCTGAAGAAAGCTGACTGGTGGTTGCCTAGGGCTGCAAGTGCTTCAGGGACATGGGGAGAGACTGCTAATGGGAACAAGGTTTCCTTTCAGGATGACAAAAAACACTCTGAGCTTGGTCATGGTGGTGGTTAGATATCTGGAAACATGCCACAAACCATGGAACCATGTGCTTGGTATTACTG